TCCACCAAATCCCACTTGACCACACCCGGGATCTAACCCGGGCCACCGCGGTGGGAAGCCAGCCACTAACCGCTTGAGCTATGGCACGGCCATTCAATCGTATTTAGTCATATACCACCAGGAAACGGTGATTCGATCTTATGAACCTTTTGCATGCAGTATGGAAGAACACGTCGGAATCCGTAACGCTTGTTACATGTACTCTAGAGAGCCCGGTTCGAACCCCTACCGGTATGGCTAGTCTTCAGTGAAGTTTCTCGCGGTTTCATTTAGTCTCCCGAGGCTGAGTCCGGTATAATCACACCACGGTCGCGTCATTCAAAATCTTTTACAGTTCATTGTTCACTGATCATCTAAACATGCGACACTGTGTAGCCGCAGTTACTGACAGCGTCGTTGGATAAACGTAAATAAATAAGTTACACCGCTCAGTATGAAGCTGAAACAAACTGAGATGATAGCAAACTGTACGGGACAGGGTGCCGGTTCCCCGGGCTATTGTCTTTATACGTTCTCTCTTCTTCCACTTGCCTCTTTCTCGCACTTAACTGGACATTGAATTGCTGGAGGAAGAAAATTTACGATCCCACTCGCCAGCTGTTCTGTACTGGAATGTTCAAACATCGGCAATTTAATGAAGTTTCAGATTAGATGTGTAGGAAGCGAACATGGGAATCCAGACAGCTGTTTCACACCTGTCTGTAATCAGATATCCTCGACTTTACAGACAACGAGAGGGTTTAGATACTGTTCTCTTGTTCTGTCTTTCAGCTACCTCTGTTCAAGTCCTGTGAAACTCGTAGCTGCTCCAATAGCAGTGTTATAATTCCACTGTGTGGTTCGTGCCATATCAGACAAAGAAAAGAATAGGTTAATAGAATATGATAACTGAACATTTCATAACGTGTTACATAATCACTTGTGTAGGAGTTTGTGTGTTATTAAATTGGCACATACAATGGTCATTTTCTGTTGTTCTGTTTTTGGTTATAGGAATAATGTTTTGGAAGGTGGTTCACCTTAGATCATCAGATAAAGCTTGAAACCTGTTCTCTTAGGTCCATTTGGTAGTGTTAACCATTGTCCAGCTGTAGTTCTAATCGCGATATATGAGAGATCAGTGGGTTGAGATATGAGAAACAGACGCATAACAGTAGTAAAATCAATCATATGACCTCAGTACAATGACATTTCTGTGGATAGTACAAAAGCCCATGAAACAAAACCATGAAAAGGGGAGGTTCCTGACAGGACTAAATGTCAATTTCAGAAAAATGATGTGGTAAAATTCTGTGAACCAATGATCAAAAATATGAGGAGCAACTGCTAAAATGTTACATCTTTGTAGAACAGCAACAGAACTCCACAAGAACATGAACAGTGTTTCGGGACATGTGTGTTAGTTTAATAATTACTGTTGCAGCCAATGGGTTTATGTAAAAAGGTAAAGCTATCCCTGTAACAGGCTGTGGAAGCCCATAGGGTTGTGAGACATCGAGGTTCGCACATTTTCTAGACGGTCACCTCACAGATGGCGCTGAGAATCAGCCTTATGCGCGGGCTACACTCAGGAAAATTCCTGGAACTCATTTCTGTTAGAGGCTGAGTAGACCCCAGGGCTACGGTGCGGATGGAAAAATTAGGTCGATTGAAAAATCCAATTATATCATTAGGAATCGAAAAAGGCCGCGCCATAGCTCAAGCGGTTAGTCTCTGGCTTCCCACCGCTGCAGCCCGGGTCTGGTCAAGTGGGATTTGTGGTGGATAAAGTGGCGCTGGCGCAGTTTTTCTCCGAGTACTTCAGTTCCCCCTGCCAATCATCATTCCACCAATTGCTCCACAATCACCCTCACCTATCATCTGGGGCTGGTACAATAGGCCAGAAGTGGCCGCAGTACAAGGGACTTAGTCCCACCCCACTAGCATAAAAAAATCAGGAATCGAACCCACGACCTTCGTATTTTCCTTGGGAAGTCTATAGGATTGAGATATGTACCTGAGGTAATAGGTAATTACATTTTGTGTGGGTTTGTGCAGCAGAAAGTGAATCAGGACTACATAACTTGATCATTACGCATTAGTCAAATAGACAGTAGTCACAAGATGCACTGAGTGGAAATGCACAGGCCCTGGAAACTTAACTTTGTATGGTACACCAGGGACGTTGCTTGATGATTGCTCAGCAAGGATGCATACTGGACCCTAAGGCTGTTGCTTTATGGAGAACTGTCGTTATGGAGCCAAGCTGAGAGGACAAGGTTGGGCGTTCATGTCTTACCATTGTCCCGGTGGCGTGATTTAATAACGGAGTTTGAAGCATAGAATCAACTCCACCCGTATTACCTGTTATGCTCAGTAAAGCTCTCAGTATATCTACTCTCACCTACAAAACATGCCACCATCAAACTCAACTATGCAGTGCTTGGCCTGGCTGCGTTTTGGATACGTCAGTTGTAACTTGTAATCAATACAGTATTTCTGTGGGAACAGCTTTCATTGCAGCATTCTACAGACAGTTTATGAGATGCACTTTGTATCATAAACTTCACAACAGAAGATTGCACAACAGTGTAAGGCTACAGAAGCAGACACTGCAGCCAATCTTTGGTAAGTCTGGATGGAAGAGCTTCCCCAACCACCATACAACCCTGACATAAGTTTACAGGTGTCTGCAGAAATGGGACCAGCTAGCCTAATTACCAAAAGTAGAGCCCACTGCCTGAGTTCAAGACTACTACCAAGCAATGAGAGGCAGTCTTCAGCTTTTGTGGTGACTAAACCGAAGAACAGTAAAGTTACTGTGTTAAGGAAGCCTGTATTTTGGAAGTTAAAGTAAAGCATCCTTTAGTTTTGAAATGACCTGTGTACTGTTAAGGTGATCAAGTGAAGGATGATGAGGCGAGCAAGGTGGCATACACTGGAGAGACAAGAAATATGTACAAATGTTTAGTTTAAAAACATGAGGGAGGGAGGTCTCTTTCTCCGGGGACAAAGCGGCCGGGGCGTGAAACTGACAACTCATCTCCAGCTAGTTCTGAGGCCAACAAATGTTGATCTGTATATCCACTCCCCCATACACCTTCATGGCATAGTGCTTAATTAGTTAAGCTGAAACATCTTTACCTTTTACTCAAGGTAATGTGGGTATGTACAACAGAAAGGGAATCTTGAATTATATAACCAGGTCGTTACACATTAGTCAAGTAGACAATAGTCACAAGGCACATAGAGTGGAAATGCATAGGCCCTGGAAAGTAACTTTGTACAGTACACCAGGGTCATTGTGGTGTGATGATAGCTCAGCAGGGATGCATACTGGACCCTAAGGCTGTTGCTGTAGACAAAGTCATCATTGTGGAGCCAAGCTGAGGTGACAAGGTTGGGTGTTCATATCTTGCCGTTGTCCTGGTGCTGTGTTTTAATAACAGAGTTCAAAGTCTGGAATCGACCCAACCTGTATTGCCTATTCTGCACAGTAAAGTTCACAGTATATTTACTCTCACCTAGAAAACATCCCAACATCAAATGCAACTACGCAGTGCTCGGTGTGCCTGCATTCGTGATACATCAGCTGTAAATTGTAATTAATTTCTGTGTATTTACATTAACATTCAGCTGTGATACCCAAGGACTGGAAGAGCTCTTGTGATTTGCTGCCTGCCTGTTGACAATTATATCATTTGATGTGCAAATGCCATTAAAAATATGTTTTGAGATGTCTGTAAAATATATATGATCTCTGATATATCTGTTTTTACCTTCATTTACAACTCAACTGACTTCATCTCATTTGATTCCATAACTTAACCAGTTTTCTGGTTTTAGATTTCCATCTGTATGCTACAAGCCGGAAGTTCGCGGTTCAAGTCCCGATGAGGTCATCGGATTTTTTTTCAGTTGACCTAATACTTCCAGCTGCACTAGGCCCTGGGGTTTACTCAGCCTCTAACAGAAATGAGTACCAGGAATTAATTAAATAATTTTTCTGGGGAGTAAAGCACGGCCGGCGCGTAAGTTCTAGATGATGTGGGACCCTCAACGTCTCACAACCCTATGGGCCTTCACGGGGTAAGGTTGTCAGCCTTACGCGCTGGCCATGCTTTACTTCCAAGGAAAATTATTTCATTAATTCCTGGTACTCATTTCTGTTAGAGGCCTAGTGCGGCCAGAAGGATTAGGTCAATTGAAAAAAATCCAGTAACCTCATTGGGACTTGAACCCGTGACCTTCTGGCTTGTAGCATAGTGCCTTAACCACTACGCTACTGCATGCCCCCAATGCCCTGTATAGTTCTTATTGAAAATTTTATTGACTAGACATATCGCTTTAAATCCTTTCCACTCTGATATACCTTCTTAGTTCACTGCATCATTCAGACATTTCATTTTTAATTTCTTTTGTCTTCTGAAGTTCAGTGAGAAATTACCAAACATCATAGTTGAGTGGGTAGCATTGTTACTGTGTCTACAGGAGGTCCTGGATTCAGATCTCACCAATGACACTAGCTAGCCTGACTGGAGTTAGTCATTCTCTCTGGGCAGATGTGGATGTGGTATATTAAATTAGTTTATGACTGTTTCCTTCCACATTTATCCATTAGTCACTGATCCTCATATAATTCAGTGCTAAATAGAACAACTGAAAATGTCACATAAACTAAAAATAACAATTCTGTCAGATGTATATGACACACATGTTAAATATAGTAGGTATAGGTGTTCTATATACCTATGTGTGTGTGTGTGTGTGCGCGCGCGCACGCATGTACGCGCGTGCGTCTGAAATTATTCTGTAAGGATAAATGTCTAGTTCAGGACTTACTGAGCATAATCCTGTTCAAGGTTTAGATGTATTGGTAGTCACAGAATTCTACTGTGTGAAAAGTAAGGTGTCATCAATTAAGACAACAGTTTATACACTGTTAATATGAGGAAATTTCATATGTAATTGAAGCTTTTGTTTATATTTTTAACATTAATTAACTTTTTCTTTTGTTGCAGATCACTTCACTGCCAAGCTGTCTGTGCGCATGACATCTGGTCCCGACTTTGTAACAACAAACTTTACGTTCTTTGACTGTAACACATACAGTTCATGCACTCAGTGTGTTTCATCTTCATTTCCTTGTGACTGGTGTGTTGATGGGCACCGCTGCACGCATGATACAGCCGAGAACTGCCGTAACGACATACTCGTAACTGGTGTCAGTGTAAGTAATTGTCATTCTTATGTAGCTCAAACATGGTGTATAAACAGGGCTTGAGGCGGGGCGGGATGCGGCGGGATGGTTCTTTTCTAAATGGCCTAAAAGCATCCCGTTACTTCTTTGGCAGTAAATGCAATGTACAATACCCAGGGCTTGGGGTGGGGCAGGATGCGGCGGGATAGCATCCCGGTTCTATTTTCATTCCACCTCAAGCACTGTGTATAAACTCATATTTTGTGCCCTTAAGCACTGGAAATGTTAATGTTTTCTGTGTTACGGGCAGAACAGTTCCTCAAAAGAGGGCAACATGTTGCAGAAAACAACAGGCCTAGAAGTTACTATCAATTTATTTGTTTTTGGAAATTTCACAGCAAGGAAAGACATATAAGAGATTGTCATCATGTTTGCAGATTGAGTTATAAAGGGGAAAAGTATATGCTTATATGTGCACCATGAATTAGACTTCAGTATATTTGTGGTTGTGGATATTTACTGATGGAACTTCAGCAGTACAATGTGTGTTCATATTCAGCAAGATAAACTCCAAGTTCTGAACTGTTATAAATGAGAGAATTTAAAATTAATATTTCACACTGGCTGATTGTACACAGCAGATACCAGCGTAGACTTGCAGTGGAAATAACTCAGTGTCAGAAAACTTCTTCCAGGAAAGATAAGATTCTGATATTTCACATCCTTCAGAAGCCACTGTATTCACAAATAAATTGGATCCACATCACTATCATACAGGATGAGCTCATACCGATATCTTTAATTGGAAAATGGGAAGATCTGATAGCAAACTGACAGATCGTTATAGTATTCCAACTGAAATACATCTGTACACAGTTCTGCCAGAATTACATTGTCACAGAGTGTCACAGCTGACCGTTGTACAACACAGCTGATCCAAGTTTACCACACATTGTCTAACAACCTGTGTTACACAGCCTCGATGTTCAGGAACAAGGTGACCCAAGGTTTGCATCAACTTGAGATGCAGTCTGCTTGTTGTAGAACAAGCAGTGGCTTATGTAGAGTCATTCTTGGTGGAACACATGGAGATTACTTCGATATTTAAACCAAGAACAACAAGACTTAATGTACGACAAACTATTAAGTAACATGCTGACAATAAGAAGTGTTACAGAGCCCCATCTACACAGTTCCCCACAGAATAACGGAACCAACAATGGCTCTGTAAAAGGAGCATTGGTTTTGAGAATAAACAGCCTTTCCTTACCACAGAGCAACTGAATGCCCATTCTTCTTGTGCACACAGCTGCTTCCTCATTCTATCTCCTTAACAAGGGTTGTCTTTGAGTGGCGAATCAACATGACCCAAAGTGAATCCTAATTTCCAGTGTAGAATCACACCTTCCTTCATGACATACTAACACACCAAATGGTAATTTAATGGGACATCTTGCCCATAATCAAGATGATGGGCAAGAGAGAGAGGCTTTGTGCACAGAGGGATATATTGGGTTCTAGAAATGACCGGAGGATTAGATTGGTGGCATGGAAACAATGTGGCTTGACATCATCAAGGATGGAAGGAAAGGAAGATGTCAATATGGGAAAGATAGTAGAAGGTGATTGGAGAAGCTAGCAAGGCTGGAGAGCCAGTAATGCAGAGAACGGTTCAAGGTTGTTATGGTTGGCAAAACACAATGCTTTGTGTATGGTCCCTAAAATGAATCTTATACAGGGTGTCCCAGGAGGAATGGACCAAACTTCGGGAGGTTGTTCCTTACGTTAAAGTATGCCGATATAACCCAAAACACCTATGTCCAAAGTTGAACGGTTACGGAGATAATGGCCCAAGAAAAGTGTGGTCTTCTGGCAGGTCCACGCACTGTACCTCTCAGCTGAAAGGCCTTATCTATGTTTGTCCTTGAGTGCCGTGATTCACCCTAGCCGTACGTATGTAGTTGGCTTTATCAGAACGCGTAGTCAGCCACGTTACGTCAGCGCTTGCCATTCATGTGTCATGTATAGTGCTTGGAAACCCTAAGGACAATCATGACATGGTGAGCGAGTAATTTGTACTTCAATTTTATGGCTTCATGTCACTCACAAGTTAGTTTGATGTTACGTACATTATTAACATTACAGAATCCACATATTCCTGCCAGTTTTAATATGTATTTTATAATCAACAAGTGTGCAACGCCAGTCAAAGTTTGACACTTCTCTGGCCATTATCTCCGTAACCGTTCAACTTTGGACATAGGTGTTTTGGGTTATATCGGCATATTTTAACATAAGGAACGCCCTCCCGAAGTTTGGTCCATTCCTCCTGGGACATTCTGTATATGATTGTCGTCTTTGTCTCTTGAGATCCATAAGTTCTCTAAGGGTTGCTTGAAAAGTACTGCACTCTTTTCTGACCAGAAGGATATTGTGCACCAGGAATATATTCCTGAGTGTGCTAATGAACAAGGAAAGTTATGTGGATGTGTCTCTCCAGGAGATAATTTACCTGAAGGATCCTGAAATGTAGGTGGGAAAAGACTAGATGCTTCTGCATGATAATGGCACCGTGACACTACCCCACTGGACACTCTCTCCTAGCACTATGTCATTTTTACATATTTCTTCACTTGAAGAACCTGCCAAGTGCTGTTATTTCAATGATGCAATGAAATTTCAACTTTCTTCAGAGATCATTTTCAGGGTGGTTGTGCATAAATTTGTATTTAAAACAGCTGTATCCATGCTGGAAGAAGAATGTATGCACTAAGAACAGTGTTTGGAAGGCAGATATGTCTTAAGATCTTAGCACCACCGGATTTCAGATGTGGCTGTTGTTCATTATGTGCATATTACAGCAAGTTCATCCTAAACAGTGAAGTGGAGTATGTTGTTGCAAACCATTAAATTTACAATTATAAATTTATTCGTTATAAGTGTAGGTTGAGTCACTTATTGTTAAGCGGACAACAGTAAGGGATTTTCATCAATAAATGTATAATGTTCAATGATATTTTGTAATCTCACATTCTGCAGTATTCTTTTTGATATCTGTAATGAAGCAAATATGCAGTATGTAGCTGCAGTGTTCTGCTAATGCATAATGTCATGGGTGGTAAAGTGTTGGCACTACAGTCATCTAATGGAAATAGGATGTGCAAGGAAAATGTTTACTGACTATGAAATGTGTCTTTATATGGGCTACAGATTCTGTCTTTTATATCTTACCTCCAGCCCTAGATTTGGTTTTATTTCATTTTTAGTTTGTGATAGACCAAGGTGCATCAGGATAGAATTTCTGTTTTTTTGTTTGTCTCAAACCCTCTGGAATTCTTTCTGTAGTTTTTCACCAGTTGTCACATATCAGTGCAGTAGTGTGATGAGTCTAATTTAATAAGCAGTCAGTTTAAGTTGGGATATTAATGTGAATCCTTCTGAGCTGCCTTTGAAAGACAGTTATTATGTATGGAGTGAAAGTGAACAGTTCTTTGAAGCTTAGTTAAACCTCCATGCACTGGTTTCTCTCTGTGTTGTGTTGTGTCTGGCCTATATGGTTTCTTGTTGTCATCACGTCGGAAAAAGTTTTGTAATCTTTTCCATCTCTTAGACTGAGTGTCATTGGAAATTGCAAAAACTTCATGACATAGGAACTAGATTCAGAGAATATTAGAGGCAAGAAACAATAGTAGATTGGTTTTCCACGAATTTTCATTCATGTATGATTGCACAAAACTTTAATAAGTTAAATAAATGCTAAGGCAGAGTTGGAGTTTTAACTTACTAATTAGGAAAATATGGTTGAAAGTACAGTTCATGAATTTATTGTTAAGGAAACTGGGCATAATGGTTCAGAAAAAGACTGCAAATTAGAACATTCCACAAGTGGAATAAATTTATAACTGTAAGCAAGTGGTAGTAATGGAACATATTATTTCTAAAAGTAGTAGTGTCAGAAAATTACACACTTTTTAAAAATAAATGTGGTTTTTCATTTTGATTCAGAACCAGTTCTTCTAGACAAAATTGAAGGGTCACATCAGAAGCAGTCATGTGACAGTGTAGGCAAGTGCATGTCTGCATAAACATTAATTGAAACTCAACGTTATTACAGAGTATAACTACAAACTTCACATATCCATAGCTGTCATTATGACCCAATGTTGGTTTTGATGTATGATCACAGTGAAAGACTGAAAACCTACCCCATAATTCTGTCTCATGTTTCTTATTCTATTAGCTGTAGTCATATGGTCCTTGAAATAATATAAAGCCATGCAATGTGACCTTTAAATTATGACACAAATTGTTAATGTGTTAAAGTGCTAGGTAATACAGCAGTATGGGTAAGCCACAGAGATGCATATCAGTTGGCTTTGCTCAAAATGCATTCTTCATAAAGCTGAGGATTTTCTTAATTTGACCAAATACAGAAAACTGCAAGACGTGTAAGCCCAGCAAGAAATTTCAAAAGGAAGTTTCAAATTTATTTAACCCCAGCTTGGTATATTTGTAAAATTGATCCAGTTTTTCATTCTCCCACATATACACAAGCACACACTCACATGCATAATGAACAATCTAACCAAGCAATGAGGATGTTGTTTCTATATAAAACATTCCCCAATATGCATGCATGTGCACACACTTACATACAGTTGTACTCACAAAGTAGAGTTGATGTTTGCCTAGAACATGCCAGTATGAACCAGATTTCAGTTTTGTAGACATGCTGACATTGCTTTCAAACTCCACAAAGATGTGATAATGTATAAAGTTCTTATATGGAAAGATCATAGGTATGATCCAATTCAAGAAATTTTAGGGAGGTTTTTCTCTGTTTCATTCAAATGAGGTAGTGGTGTCCCTGTTCATGTGATAAAAGTGTAGTCCATTAAAGACCATGAATGGTCTTTGTTAACAAAACTTTATATTCTGAGATTTTCTTATTACATTTTTCCATTATCTGAAATCCTGTATTCATCCATTAAGCTGGAACCAGTTGTTGCCATTTCTTCATGATAATTACCCTGAAATTTCTGTGGATGAATCTGCAGAAACAAAATGAATTCATGTTTTTCCATATCTTGGTTATTATTCTTATTATCTGTACTATGATGAGTTAATCTCTTTTTGTAGCGTATTGGTCCAAGCTACAGGAGTGGTCCAGGTTTTTGTCCAACAATTAATGCCACTGCTGGTGGCTCACCAGAAATTCTTGTATCTTCTGGAATGAAGAAGAGCATTCGAGTCAAGGTGCACATAATTGGAGTAAGTGTGATAAAAGTATTTGGTTCAAGGTAGTAATAAGTTAGACCACATTTCTCATAACCAGATTATAGGACAGTATCCCAGTGCAACAGCTATTAATAGGTGTTTGGAAAATTGTACAAATAGAACTGTTAATTTTATGCATTGTTTCTCATGACTGTAGAATTTGGTTTGTTATTTGGCTGGAGAAACAGAAAGTGATTTCACTCCTGTGGGGTATGATGTCTTAAGAGGCTGGTGAGTTGTTCCAAAGAAATGTGCTGCTTTCATGATAACAGTAGATTTGGACCTAACTGAGGAGAAACTTTGGAATATGGGATGATATTGCATAATGAGAAACTGTATGTGATGCATGTCAGTTAGCAAAGGAATTTTTTAAAACTGTGGAAGTTCTCAGTGAAAATAGCTCACCTTTGTGCTGAGATTCAAACTCACAGTCCCTTGAATATAAAGCAGGACTGCCAGCTGTATCACTTTGATATTCATTGTTGTAAAGTGTACTGGGTGTGTAATATGCATGGAGTTAAGGAAACCGCAAGACCAAGGTGTACATTAAAGGGTTATATTAAGCTAAAGCTTTGTGAAACAGGGAGTGATGTAAATTAGATCAAATTGCTTCAAGATAGGATAATGGGCATTGGTAATGAAGTCTTTTAAGTTCCATTATACTAGGGAGTAGTGCTTCATTGAACGGAAAGTGTTTTACTTGTTTCTTGAATTCGTTTGATAAGAAATATGGTTGAAGTTTTTAACTTCCAGTTACTGCTGAAGTGAATTTACACAATAGTGATTAAATGTATTAGTGAAGTCGATGGGAGGCATGTATTTTAAGCATTATGAAACAGTTTGAATATTAGGGTGGGATATATGAAATTAGGAGAATTACGAAGTTATCTTTTAAAAAATATGTTGTATAATCTTTGCTGTCTAATGGCTTCAAGGAGGATAGAAGGAAATAATTTGATTAACTGAGTGCATGTTAGCTGGCTTTTAACTTTCAAAAATGCCCCACGTAGGGATTATGTGCTTTTTTTGATTAACTATCTTGGTAATGACAAGTGTTAAGTAATTTTAGTTTTTAAACACAGCTGTAGCATGGAATATTGCTAGCATTACTAAGCTCATCTTGACCGGCCTCCATAGTCTAGGGGTAATGATCCCACTCAAGGTACGCGGGTTCAAACCTGGCGGAGGTCATGGGATTTTTAAGGGCGGAAAAATTCAGGGAACAAGTACTCCGGGAGGGACTTTAAGCCGTGGGTCCTGTGTCGTAGATTTACGGGACGCAAAAGATCCTCATGTCTCTAGGAGACCTCTGAGCAAAATTAGGCCAGAAAAAGTTTCCCGCCCAAGTAATTTCCAGTGCCTCCTGTAGATGGGGAAAGTATCGGGTACTGCTGCCAGAAGAGGGCCGACCTCGCTGGCAGAATGGGACTAATTATCAGATACCACTGCCAGAAGAGGGCCGACCTCACTGGCAGAATGGGGCTGATAGCAAGCACCAGTACCGGAAGGGTATGGCGACAGTAGAAATTAAAGGAGGACACACAATAAATCAACAACTGGTCGCGGTGCATGGGGAAACCCACCCCCTCTAACAATGAATGAATGAATGAAGTTCATCTTGACAGTTATGCTCACAGTGAAATTCAGATGCTAGATAACGGAACTGAGTGTACTCGTAGTGTAGTGATGGCATAAACACCAACTTGTGGAGTTAATAACTTCCCCATACTTCTTATTGTTTAAGTAGCCCTAATGTGCGCGAGATGTGGGATATATTTTTGTACTGAATATTATTTTTATATGATTTCAGCAATTCATAGTACAGACGAGGTTTGTTTGCCAGTTTAACATTGAAGGCCGTGTGACAAGTGTTAATGCTCAGCTTCTGGGGGACACCATCTACTGTGACACAATGGAGTTTTTGTATACTTCTCGTGCACCAAACATTACTGCAACATTTGCTGTTATCTGGGGTGGTTCGAAACCATTGGACAATCCTGACAATGTTCACGGTATGTCCGACAGTTCATCAGTGCTTGAACTAATAGATTGGTTCTTTAAGTAGGATGCTTTCTTGAGTTATTTCAAAGAAAAATAAGTAAGAAAAATGCTTTATTGGAATGAATGTTGTCATGACCGGTAATAAAGAAGTACTATAGTTAGTTCCTCGTAACTTTAGCCACGCAGAAAGGTAAACGCTGTTGTTGAGCATGCGAAGCTGTATGCTTGCTGTGGTGATGTTCAGAGGTACTCCCCGAGCGGAAAACATGACCAACTGAAAGCAACACAACGTACTATACACCTGACCACACTCCATTACATGAACTAATCTGGAGTGCTTGGGTAGATAAGTATTAATGTTATAATACCTACAGGCATTCGTCATCGACATGCATGACTACCTGCCATGTACAACCACTGTTCATACAGGTTCTGAGAAAACCAAATAGATATTCTACATTTTCTGCAGACTTTTTTGTTTATGGCACATTCTTGCAGCCAGTGAACCTTTGTGATTCTTCTTAATATAGTTTTATAATTGGGGCCCACTACAATACTTAAAGGCAGTCTTCTTTCAAGTATATTTTGTTTATGCCACTCCAATAAGTTTATTCTAGTGCTGTCATTATTGTCTGCAATGGTGAAGCATATGTTATGAGGAACCTTTCTATTGTAACTCATTTTAAAGCATTACTTTCTTATATCATTAAATACATATTCTTAAACCCTTGGAATTATTCTCTGGACGAATTTTAGATAATTTATTAACAAGGGAAAGGAAAGTGTCACAACCACTGGTGCAGTGGTAGTAGTTTTTGGTGGGTTAAGATGGGTTTTGGTGAGGCTTTTCACCACCAAGATGACAGTGAAGTTGCTGTTATTAGCTACATGCCACCTATGACTGGAAAATTCCAGTGCACATTAACAAAACCTGGGTCCGTGAGATCCATTTCAGTAATGACACTGTGTATACGTAGCCTGAGTTTACCCCAAATATTATATATTCTGTTATTATTCTTAAGAGTATCAGGAGACTGCAACCATTAAGTTTAGAATTAAAGGGACAATGAAAATAAAGCCATTTCCTAAAAGTAGTCAAGAATGGGATTAATGGATATGTATGTATAATCAACCTTTTCATTTTGTGTGATGGAATTTGGTTTACTTCTGTTATATTTTAGTGTCCTGTTGCACTGATTCACGTTCATGAGGTGTATTTGTACCAACCATCTTACAGTGCATACAATTTCACCTTTCTCTTCACTACATGTTTCGGCACTAATGTGCCATCTTCAGGTGTGGTTTTATTTATGTCAAACCATTGCACTGTATGCCATCATGTCTCCATTATAAAATGATTAAAATGTAAATATGTCATGTATAATAATAAAATTTATATATTAAAACTTTTCTAGATTTATCATCTATACATCGCACTTCAAATTCGCAAGTTACGTCAATCCTCTCCTATGGGAGTACTCTTCCTATATTCTTGTGTATATTGTGTTCTGTGTTGTGTCCTTCCCTTGTGACTGTGTGCGTTGTATTCTTACTTCATTAACAAACATATATTTGAATGAAATTGCAACTATTATGGATGTATTAACATGTAACAGAGCTGTCATGTAAGAGGATATGTTGCGTTTCAGTGGTGATCTACCGTTGCCGAGACATGGCAGACAACTGCGGTATGTGTCTAGCACTATCAGAGAAGTATGGTTGCGGCTGGTGCCAGGTTTCTGACCGCTGCGAAGTGAAAGATCAATGCGACCAAGGGGCAGGTGTCTGGCTAAACCGCAACCAGACTTGCCCAAATCCTGAAGTAACAGATTTTGAACCTCAGCTTGGCCCTTGGGAGGGTGGTACAAATATTACCATCAAGGTAAAGATCTTTTCACTGCTTAGCTGTTTTTTTAATTTTAGATTGTGAGAATTCAGATACAGAGGCAGCAGTATTTTTGTATGAATAATAATAAATAAAAAAAAGAAATATTTTGACCCACAATTGTGTCATGCCACCATGGGTGTTTGTAGATCATGTGATCAGCTGACTTTGCTTCATTTATATCATTACTGGGGAATCCAAAGAGGATATAGTCTCAAATGACTTATATGGAATAAAGAGACCAATGACATGTCCTAAAACAATTACAGCATACATCTAAATTAGTGTAAGCAGAGGTAGAGTACAGTCATATATATAAACACTCCCTTTAGCATATTTTAATTAACATGTAACTGTACATGCATAGCTATAAAAGGATCATTTCTAAGGCTATGACTTGTAACAGCTGTAAATATAATCGCACTCTGACTTTGAATTTTCTGATGATACATACATTTATCTCACATCTTACAAGATGACTGCATTCCAGATCATCTTAATTCCAAACTTTTGTTACTTCTTTGTCTCCAGTCCCATTAATTTTTATTGAAAAATATGCAGTTCAGGTAAATTTCATACTATTATTTTTGCCTGTTTATGAATCCAAATATATTTTATTTTAGACAAATAATTTCACTATTATATAGTGTGTTGAAAGTCAACTGACATTTCGAGGAATATGTCATATGCTTCATGCTGCTGTCTTCTTTGGCATTCTTCAGCACTGAAGACAGGCAGTGTGCTCCTCAGAAATGATTACTTTCAGTGTACTGTATGGTATAATATCCTAGAAAACAGAACTCTTTGTAATGACCACTGTGAGAGCCTCAAATCCTGAAAATTTCTTTATCTCCATGAATGAAATAAAATTAAAAAAACAAGTTATTTGAAGTTGTGTTATTGCAAATATTGACTTGTGTCAAAATTGTGTTAGTCAGGGATAACTTTGTATAAAACAATAATGCATTGCTGGAATTTCATATGCAAGCTGTTGTTTTAAGTTTTTAAATTAAAATGGCCAGCTGCAGAAGATCACATTCCCATCTGTTCATGAGGGTGTAAAGCCTATACCCCAAAACACAGAACAGTTCATTTTGCACATGAAGTTGTCACACTGATGATTGAAAGTCATCACTGCTAATTTCAGAAGAGCTGGTTGTCTGCATCATCTTCAACATACAGTGACTAAACATTTGCCTGGTGCTTTCTGGCTGATATCTGTTGTTCTGAACCATGTAGCAGTTTTGGGGGAGTCTGAGCCATGATGCAGTTGGGTGGGTGCGTGTGCGTGTGTTGGGGGGGGGGGCGGCGAAGCTGATATGTGAGTAGCTGAATAGTAGATTAGACCTTTGGTTCCTTAGCAAGGTCTGTTCAATTTACTAATGATAGGAGATAGTAGGATAGCTGGATAAGGCAGTCAAAAATGCCCTAACTAGGTCATTTAATTTGGACTGACTAGTTCTTTGAAATATGAGTGAATTTCATCATGACACAGTTATCACTCAAGAATGGAAGCCACTATGAAATACTGAAATTCTGTATTGATGCTGAATTCCTGAAAGGGATGTATTTCTGTGCAGGGCATCAACCTGGGCAAGACATATCCTGACATCTATGGAGGTGTGAGTGTAGCAGGCATACCATGTGAACCATATGAACAGCTATATGTGAAGACAAAGCAGATAGTATGTCGTGTGGATGGACCAGGTACAAATGAGCCTAGACGAGGTCCAGTAATTGTCCGTGTGGAAGATTTTCGCGGAGAATCCAAACACAACTATGAGTTTGTAGATCCTGAAATTACAGCAATATCACCAAAATATGGGCCCCGTTCAGGAGGCACTGTGCTGAAGATAACTGGCCGCTTCATGAATGCTGGAAGTCGCATTCAAGCCTTCATCGATGATTTGCCTTGTGAAATAATTTCGTAAGTGTAAAGTGCATTTCTGTTTATCTTTTGTAAATAAGCAGTTTTCACTTTCAGCAGTTTAATACATTTATATGCTGTATATACTTTCAGATTATTTATATATTAATGTACAATATTAAGTGTTCAGGTTTTTAGCTTTCACTGCCAACTGCTTAGTGTGGTAGCTGATATGTTTTGTAGCCATTTTTGAGAGGTTACTTGTTCAAAATAGGTGCTTTAATAAATTCAGCAGTTCTGACCAGTACAAATTAAAATTATATTTGCCTGCCATAATTTTGTGTACACCCTAATATCAGATTTTGTGAGAATCCATTTTGTAGATGAAACACATGAACTGACGGACAAAAGTTGCGACATCCTCATTATGTTTCATATATGCATATTTTCAGGGCGCACATAAACACTACCAGTCTTTCCATATGTTATGAGAACTCGAGCATATGTATCTTAATGTTTGCATTATTTTTGCAGCTAATTGATTTTGTAGGAAATTTGCCTTATTGGGTACTCCCAGTATATCTGAAGTATAATTTCAGCTTTTGGGATCTAGCTGCATTTTGATTGGAAGGTCTTCCAACATTTCGGTGTACAATATATGTAGTTACTGTCTTCAGGGTTAACGTGGCAGAAAGATGATACAGCACAATATGTAAGTCTCACATATGTGAGGATGTGGAGTGTGTTCAGTGGGAAGGGGCAATCACTCAATATATAAGTTTTGCAGTTGAAGTAAGGGTCTGAGCCTGCCCAGTGGACATGGGACTGGACTTCAAGATGTTAATTTGAAATTGATAGAATAATTTGGAAGTTTTATTGAAGTTAAACTGGAATTGCATTGCAGGACGAAGCCAGAGGAGGCTCTGTGTGTGACCAGTGCTTCAGACAGACAGAGAAGTGGAAAATTAAGAATGAAATTTGACAAAGGTGATCGCACATTTGACAAGGAACTTTTTGAATATGTTGAAGACCCAACGATAGAGTCTGCAGAATCAGGAGTAGCAGGACAGGTAAGTTATAATAAAGTAACACAATTTTATAATACAGGCAAAGAAAAGGTAAAGCTATCCATGTAACAAGCTGTGAAGTCTCATAGGGTTGTGAGGCATTGAGCTTCCCATGTTTTCTAGATAATGGGCTCATGGATGGAGGTGAGGTTGTCAGCCTTATGCGCCGACCATCCTTTACCCCCATGAAGATTCCTGGTAGTCATTTCTGTTAAGAGGCTGAGTTGACTCCAGGACCATAGTGTGGTCGGAAATATTCGGTCAGTTAAAAAGTCCAGTGACCTCACCAGGATTCAAACCCATGACCTTCCGGCTTGTAGAATAGTGCCTCAACCAACTACACTACTGCATGCACCCTTCTATAATACAGGCACTCCCTGTTCTATGCAAATTCAAAAAATGAGATTTCTTTCTAATACTCAACTAATTTAGAATCATATAAATTAATAGCACCCACTTTAAAATGAATTGCTTGCTGGCAGATGGAGATAGGCATGTAGAAGGTGGCATATAATATTGTGTGGGTGGGGGGAGAGAATGGAAATTATATTTAATTTAAGTGATTTCCCCCTCCATTACTTTGGGGGGGGGGGTGACACAGATGTCACATATATCAAGGAGTATCTGCATAGCGTTTTAAATTATAAGAAGATCTGAAATGAAAAAGTCCAGATATTAAGGAAAATGTTTGAACATGCAGAAGATGAGTTGAGTAAAAAATGGAAAATACAATGAGAAGGCTTGGTTTTGATTGTAGTAATTGCAGTGTTCTTCATGACTTTTGTTTTCATATTTCAGATTAAGATTCCCAAAGGGATTCCTGCTGGTGGGATCAGAATTTCTGTGTCTGGGAAGAATTTGGCTTACATTCAGAACCCCCAGATGTATGTCTACTACAAGGATAGGATGTTTGGCAGTGTAAGTAATTGTGTTTATTCAGCAGTATATGCATAGGTAAGTCAATAAGTAAGATACAAATGCAACCTGTCATGCATTATGAGGTAGGCCATGCCCTGTGAACATGCCTGATACCGACAGCAGCCCAAAGAATTTTATGCTGCTCATTTTCAGGGGCTTGTGAAACGATGGGAAAAGTGCCTCAATGTACAGGGAGATTTGAGAAATAAAAGCATTTTTCAAATCAGTACTCTTATTTGTTTAAGTTCTATATCCATTTGTAACTTACTTATTGACTTACCCTCGTATATATACTTACTTACTTATTTATGGAGCTGAGCCCTTCTTGAGGAGAAGCCAAATCTGCAGCTACTCAAGAATTTCCCAGAATTATTTGGAACCCACAGGTTCATTACTGTGTTCACAAGATCCCTCCACTGGTCCCTATCCTGAGCCAGATCAATCCAATCCATCCCATCCCATCCTCTCTCTCTAAGGTCCATTTTAATATTGTCTACCCACCTATGCCTTGATCTTCCCAGTGGTCTCTTTCCTTCTGGCTTTCCCACCAATCTCCTATATTCATTCCTTTTCTTCCCCATTCGTGCTACATGCCCTGCCCACCTCATCCTCCTTGACTTGATCATTCTAATTATACTTGGAGAAGAGTACAAGTTATGAAGCTCCTCATTATGCAGTTTTCTCCAACGTCCTGTCACTTCATCCCTCTTTGGTACAAACATTCTCCTCAGCACCCTGTTCTCAGATGTCCTCAGTTTATGTTCCTCCCTAAATGTCAGAGACCAAGTTTCACACCCATACAGAACCACAGGCAAAATTATAGTTTTGTATATGCTAATTTTTATGTTTGTAGAGAACAGATGAGGAGACAAAAGGTTCTGGGCTGAATGGTAGCAATCATTACCCGAGGTCAGTCTCCTCTTAATTTCCTCTTGAATCATGTCTTGCTTTGTTATCGTCATTCCCAAATATTTGAACTGTGCCACATTTTCAAAACATCGGTTACCAATCTTAATGTCATGATTTTGCCCTGCATTTTTATATCGCAATAGCAACATATACTTAGTTGTTTGATAAATATTGGCTGGAGTGGAAGTTTCATACAGAATTTGTCATCTGTAACCCAGTGATTTGTGTATATATATTGTCGCGTATCGGNCATACGTAGTCTCTGGAATCGCATTCATTCTAGAATTTTTAAGAGCACAAATTTAGGAAGGTCTAAATTCTGAGTCATTTCTTCCATGGAAAGCATTTGTAAATGTTTCCAGTTATAAAAGTAGTTGCAAAGACTGGGTTGTGCCATGTGTTTCCAAGTATGAGAACTTTATCCTTCAGAAGCCACCAGATTCCACTTACCATTTATACAAGATGATTCATAATCCAGTGACAGAACTTTAGGAGGTTGTTGGGGAAGTTTAAAGTTTGAAGCACAGAACATAAACATAAGTAACATTTGGTTCTTTGCATTTAAAATATACCTACTACTTTAATTGGCAGTGAATAAAAAGCAAAGCTGCTGAATTTATTAGCTCTCTTCAGTTTCAAATTGAACATAAATGTCTGATTGTGCAGTGGGGATTCACACACAGTTCTACATATTTCTTCACAAATACTTCTCATAGTTACTGCCTCCAACATTCATGCATGCATCAGAGTGATATAGAGTGCCATCCCTAACATGAACCAGTTGTCTGTGTTGGCCTGTAATGTCAGCTATAGCTACAGGGATGCAGTTCATCAGATTGTTGCAATTTCTCTAGCATAAACATTTTCTCTGATGGATCTCCATAAAAATGGATCAAATGGGGTGAGGTAAGATAGCCAGGCCCCCAACAGTATCTACAGAATGGGTTTTCAGGTTGTCATGAAGAGTGGCAAGGGTTGCCGTGGTGTTTAAATCACTTCCCACCCAAACATTATGGGGCACGTCTTCAAACAAAAGGGGATGTGGTGTCTCAGGAAATCAGTGTACTGGACACCACTGAGACAGTTTACTGTCAAGTATTATGGCCTATTCAGGTAACTGGTTATGATTGTAGTTGAAACATTGATGTCCAATCTTTATTGAAATTAAGAATGTCAAGTTTCATGAGGATCCTGCAATGCCTCTCTGTCTGGGTTGTGGAGACTGTTTGTGAATTTTGCCTTGTTTGTCCATGGGGCATGGCACAAGAAGTCATGTTCATCTAAAGTTCTTACAATTCATCAACAGAGCTGAAGGCAAATCTCATTGTCCTCTGGGTGTATGCCCTGTACAGGTTGTACATAGGGAGTATATGGTTATTCCACATGCTATGTATAGCAAATTGCACCCTGAGAGGGGACTTTTTCATGTGTTACCCAAGTGCTAGTCACTGAATTAGTGCATGTAGAATCTAATACGTCCTCTATATTCTGCATGTTGCCTCTGCCATGGTCATCATGAGCTGATGACATGAATTCATCCATTCCTCTCAGAGTGTGGCACAGTATTGCAGACATATATGTTTACTTGTCTCCAATCTTAGTACTGATGTTGACATTTCCTTGATGTGGTTCTACCATTTCCATCACAAACGTGAATTGCATATCAGCATGCTCAACATTAGTAGATCATGCCATCTCAAGAGTTGTATTATCACAACTTTGGTGTAGGTACATTGTGAGCCAGAAGGGAATACAGTATGACCTCCATTTTGTGGCATTATGAAAGCTTTACCATGTGAAAATAAGAAGGTAAAGTTATCCCTGTAACTGGCCATGGAGGCCCACAGGGTTGTGAGATGTCTAGGCTCTAACATTTTCTAGACTCATTTCTGTTAGAAGCTGAGTCTACCCCAGGGCCATAGTGCAGCTGGAAGGATTAGTTCAATTGAAAATTTCAGTGATTTCATTAGGAAGTAAACCTGCGACCTCTTGGCTTGTAGCATGGTGCCTTGACCAACTACACTACCACGTGGCCCACCATGTGACCAAAAATAAATTATGAGTAGAAATCTGAAATACCATAATTCATACAACTGTTTGTTTACATTTTCTACTTCTAATTATCTCCTCATCAACTTCCTCAAGTTTGGCTGTGAAGAAGACTGAATCACCTTGTGTGTCGAGGTATGGGGTCAGTGTGGTCATTACAGAAAAATCTCACAGCTCTAAGCCATTGGTGTTGGAAGATAGAAACAGTTTTATGTTGCACGCGTTTTGATCATGTAACATGTTTTCACAATAATACTTGTCAGATACTGGATTACAGTTCATGAATATGCATATAACATATTGTGGCATGCATTGTGCATTGTTTTAACCAGAACACATCCATTGCTATACAGCAGCTAGCAAACCTAAGCAACGAATTGTTTGAGGCAATTGCATGACAATGGCTAGGAAAACTTATAGCAATGAGAGACTCGTTTGCATACAACAAGGCAATGGGTATTAACAGAGCACGTTCCTGGTACAATGGTTTCAGTCACTAGGATTTTGATGCACAAAGTGTAAAGTTAGCTGTTAAAAGCCAATATCCATGGCAACGAATACACTAGCTAACTAGTTAAGTTCCCACTACGACAGAAAACACTAGCTGCTGGTGGATAGAACACATGAAACAGAACCCTTGAATAAGACGTCTTCTAGCCCATCTGATGGTAAGATATAAGAGAAGACCAGGTCGGAATTGAGATGAGATTATGAGCCGAGATACAGAGTGATACAAAAAGATTACAGAAAAGAGATTACAGGAATGCAGAACGCAGAATAGCGGAGACGAAGGACTGGGCAGGTCGCATCGTCTAGAAGAAGTTGTTCGTAAGTGATTGTACTTGTCAGTGCATTCAAGAAAGTGTGGTTGTAAAATAAGTGTCCAATAAACACATTCATCTAATCTGAGACCCACACAAATTTCTTGCCGCGTTACCTAGGAAACGCAAAAATGTGCATATTATATTTTACTAATTGTCTTTCAGTTTAAATGTGTTCACATTAGAGTGTAAGTTGATTGTGAAACTTTTTCTGTGGTTTTATATTAGGGTAATTATTTAAAATGTAGTAGTGAAGTCCACTTAGAGATTTATAATTTTCAGTCTCCTGACACAGGCTCACTTTGTGTATTTTGTTTTAGAAGAATGCAAACTTCACTGCTGTTGTGGATTGTGTTGCAGCAATGTGTGGTATTGAGCAATTCCAACATGGCTTGTCCATCACCGAGCATCATAGTTCAAGAAACATTGGATGCAGAACATCCTTTGTCTCTGCAGTATGGTTTTAGAATGGACAATGTGACTGGAGTCCAGAACTTGTCAATTAAGGAAGGCTATTCATTCTTCCTGTTGTACCCCAATCCTGTGTATGAACCTTTTGATGAGGAAGTCAAGTATTACAAAAGTGACTATCTAACTATAAATGTAAGTAGCCCTGAACTGTAGCATCTAGAAAATGATAATTTTATGTATCATATAGGTTTAAGCCAGGTAGGTTTTTCTCATTGAAGGCTTTAATGCATGCATGCTTTTCTCAGTGTTTGCTTTGAGCCAGGTATGTTTTCCTTGCTGAAGGCTTTAATCCAGGTATATTTTCTCAGTGTAGGCTTTAAGCCAGGTATGTTTTTCTCAGTGATGGCTTCAGTCCAGTTCCCATCAGATTATCCCTAAGAAAGAAAAGCAGCTCCAAAATATTCACATAGGAAAAATGGTCTGATTAGGGCATATTTCTTTCCATTATTCAAGAGTGTGAATTCTGGGAAATAATTATAGCCACTATAATTATGCACTTTTGAAGTAAGTATCCAGCATTGTGAATAATTTTAACATTTTACCATAAAGTACATAGGTGAGTCAAATGAAAATTGCAAAACTGAGATAAAAATTCTAAATATTGTGCCATTGTCCTCTAAGTTGGCAGAATGTTACCAATGCTTTAAAGAGTATCCTATAGGTGGCAGTATAATGCAGACAAACAGAACACCATCACAGTGCTGGTTTGAAGATGGCTGCTCCACCACGTACATGAACGAAAGAAGAACGTTCTGTAATTCGTTTTTTGATCAGTATAAGTGTGAAACCAATTGAAGTTCATCAATGGATGAAGGTTCAGTATGGTGATGCATGCTTGTCACAGCAGCAAGTGTACGAGTGGAGTAGGAAATTCAGAAATGGTGTGACATCTGTGGCAGATGCTCCTTGCCTGGATCAGACTCACAGAGTTGTGACCCCTGAGTCTATTGTGGCAGTTGAAGCCCTAGATGGGGAATCACTTAGTGTCAGTGGATGAAATAGCCGAAATTCTTAACATGAGTCACAGATCAGCACACCATGTCATTCATGATGTGCTCCAGTCTCACAAAGTGTCTGCAAGGTGGGTGCCACAGCAGCTGACTCCATAATTGAAACGATGATGTGTGGACGCCTGTGCAGAACTTCTGCGGTGTCTTGAAGCAGAAGGTGATGGCTTCCTTTTGAGAATCATTACTGGTGATGAAACTTGGATACACTACCACCAACCGGAAACAAAGAGAACGAGCAAGGAGTGACATCATTCATCACCAAAACCCAAGAAGTTCCGGACACAGCCATCAGCAGGGAAGACTATGCTGACTCTTCTGGGATGAAGGAGTCATACTCTTGGAGCACTACATGCCTCGGGGGAACACTGTCACCAGTGCCTCATATTCAGATCTCTTGAAGAATAATCGTCAACCTGCAGTCAGATCAAAGAGACATGGACTTTTGGCTAAAGGTGTCCTTTTGCTACGTGGCAATGCTCGGCCCTATACTGCCCATGCAACAGTTGCAACAATCGAAGACTTGCCCTTTGAGTGTCTTCCACATCCACCACACTCACCAGACCTAGCCCCAAGTGATTACCACATGTTTGGGCCACTCAAAGAGGCGATAGGAGGAAAGAATTTCCATGCTGATGGAGAGGTACAGCAGGCGGTGCATGAGTGGTTGCGCGGACAACCACAAGAATTTGTTTCCAGAGGAATCCATACATTTTGTAAACGCTGGAGGGCCTGTATTGAACGAAATAGAGTCTATGTAGAAAAATGATATAGTTGTGTACCGCTTGCATTCAATAAATTAAATAAAAAAGAATGCGGTTTTCATTTGACTTGCCCTCGTATACAGCGATGGAAATTCAGTAACTGGATGGGTAGGAGAACTATAGGAACGCTTGCTGAAGCATTGCCCAATTCAGTAACACTCCTTGTGTAATGGGACATTTGCTTAGAATGGAAATTTAAGTTGGTTGTTACTTTTTAAAACATTGTTGGCCTCATCATTTAAATTGGCATCTTTATGAAGGGGGCTTGGGAGGGAGGAATGAAGGTTAGTATGGCATGCCCTCCCCATGTTTTGACAGAAGGCCAGCAGTTATGAGTTTCCATTTCACTTCCCTTCAATGTGTTTATGTGAAGCGAGGGAACTAAACTCCTAATTGTTGGCTCTGCATGATTTAAATTTGTTTTAATTTTAAGAAGGAGTCATGATAGCTCAGCATAGTGATGGGCTATATGCTTAACAACCCAAGTTTGATTCCCGGCAGGTGCAAGAGATGTTTCTGTACTCCACAGCATCCAGACTGGCTCTGTGGTAGACCCAGCCTCCTATCCCATGGGTACCAGAGGTTCTTTCCCCAGGGGTAAAGCAGCTGAGGTGTGAAGCTGACCACTCACCTCTAGTACTGAGGTCAAGAATGGTGAAGCAATGCAGCCACTCCCCTATGTGTCTTCATGGGGTGGTGCTTAATTAATTAAGCACAGAAAAAAAANTTTTCTTTACTCCTCAGCATCCATGTTATATTTTAGCGTCCTGTTGCACTGATTTAAGTTCATGATTTGTTTATTCTGTCTTGCAGTGCATACACTTATCTGTCTTCTTCTTTCACTTTCACTACATGTTTCGGCATAAGAATGCCATCTTCAGGTGCTACTCAATTCACGTCAAACTAGTACATTGTATGCCTTGTCTTCACTTTAAAATAACTAAAATATATGTCCATCATATATATTGACAAATGTCAATCGTAAAAATATTAAAACTGTCCAGGGTTCCCGATCGCTACGTCGTATCTTATTACGCCAGTCCTGTTCATCCTACTCTGTTGGAGCTCTTCTTCCCTATCGTGTATATTGTGTTTCTGTTGCGTCTTGTTCTCGCGACTGCGTGCGTTATGCTGTTGGGTCTGCTGGGTATGTGTGTGTGTNTTTGCTTAGAATGGAAATTTAAGTTGGTTGTTACTTTTTAAAACATTGTTGGCCTCATCATTTAAATTGGCATCTTTATGAAGGGGGCTTGGGAGGGAGGAATGAAGGTTAGTATGGCATGCCCTCCACATGTTTTGACAGAAGGCCAGCAGTTATGAGTTTCCATTTCACTTCCCTTCAATGTGTTTATGTGAAGTGAGGGAGCTAAACTCCTAATTGTTGGCTCTGCATGATTTAAATTTGTTTTAATTTTAAGAAGGAGTCATGATAGCTCAGCATAGTGATGGGCTATATGCTTAACAACCCAAGTTTGATTCCCGGCAGGTGCAAGAGATGTTTCTGTACTCCTCAGCATCCAGACTGGCTCTGTGGTAGACCCAGCCTCCTATCCCATGGGTACCAGAGGTTCTTTCCCCAGGGGTAAAGCAGCTGAGGTGTGAAGCTGACCACTCACCTCTAGTACTGAGGTCAAGAATGGTGAAGCAATGCAGCCACTCCCCTATGTGTCTTCATGGGGTGGTGCTTAATTAATTAAGCACAGAAAAAAATTGACTTACTTTGAATTATAAGATATGTGGAAATTGAAATGATTTTTAGGGCCAGCACTTAGACCGTGCCTGTCAGGAGTCAGATGTGACAGTGAGGATTGGTAACAGCCTGTGCAATGTGACTTCATTGTCTCGTCAACAGCTGACATGCCGACCACCAGTAACTCAGCCTCCTGGTGTTGATGAAGATGGAAATCCAAACCCCCAGGAACTGCCTCAAGTAGTGGTGAGTACAGTGGACGCAGAAGCTGACCCTGAATTACCACGTTTAACCAGTATATATATGTATGAGGTATATCTATTGTAAGTTATAGTGAACATATAGTTTTTATAGGTTGTTTATGCTTGTTGCTACAGGTTACATTGGCATACTTAACAATTTACTTTCAATATTTTTTTTATCTGCAGGTTGAAGTTGGTGTGGGCAAGTTGAGATATGTAATAGGGAAGCTGAGTTATGCATCACCAGCTGGATTAAATGGTCCACTTTCAAAACCAGCCCTCATAGGTGTTATCACAGGCATTGTAGTTCTATTGCTCGTCTTCATAGCGTTCCTTATCGCATACCGACGCAAGTCCACAGAGAGCAACCGGGTTCTAAAAAATATGCAGGAACAGATGGACATCTTGGAACTTAGGGTTGCTGCTGAGTGCAAGGAAGGTGAGAGCTGCTGCTTTTCCTAAATATGACTTCAGTCACCTTTGTCCTATCTTTTTGAAATATTAGAGAACAGAGCAGTGATTTTAAACCAAATTTTTATGAAGCTTATAATAATATAGTTTGGTAACTGTAAGGAAGCAGTGAATGCAACTTCATTGGAGAGAAAAACTTTTCTAGTTTTGATGAACATAAAAGAGTTTTAATGTAAGTGTAGAGCCATGGAGATTCAGTTGTAGCTTGGATTAAATACTCAGATGGAGGAGGGCACAGTGTGCCTTTGGTGTGGCAGCCAAACAGTGTTGACATTTATATTTTATGAAGAAAAAATTAATTTGGCTGATTGTGAGTCATTCCTACCCAGTTTGGAGGCACTGGATTTTAAGTGTATTTTCGGGACTGTCTCTTGAAAATCGGAATGTGTGGTCACTGTAGGTTCGGTGATGTTTAAATTGACCACTAACAGAACTGTGATTTTCATCACTACACCAGTTTCTTTGTTTTCAAGCAGGTATTGCATGAAGGTGCAAATTACATGATTTATTATTCATATTCCTATCTGTTTGACCAAAAATTTAGGGTAAAAATGCAGTATTTCACTTCTTCTAAAAAATTATATGTCTGAAAGTGTGATAAATTATGTAAAAAAATGTTGTAAATCTCCCTTTANAAAAAATTATGTGTCCGAAAGTGTGATAAATTATGTAAAAAAATGTTGTAAATCTCCCTTTACCTTTGCCTAACACTTGGCCTCATAATACATCAGAAATCCCATGTTTAGAGCCTGTGAGGTATCTCACTCAATACATCTGATGGTATAAACAGCTTTAGGTTCAGTTAATTAATCTTGTCTCAAAATGCATGAAAACCAAGTTCTCTGGAAGAAAAAGGTATATATAATTTGAGCAAATTGCTTGTAATTTTATGCTCAAGTCAGATTCTTTGTATTTTTATAGCATTTGCTGAACTACAGACTGAGATGACAGATCTAACAGGGGATCTCACATCAGGTGGAATTCCATTCCTTGATTATCGCACATATGCCATGANCACTCTCAAAATCTCACTCAATACACCTGATGGTATAAACAGCTTTAGGTTCAGTTAATTAATCTTGTCTCAAAATGCATGAAAACCAAGTTCTCTGGAAGAAAAAGGTATATATAATTTGAGCAAATTGCTTGTAATTTTATGCTCAAGTCAGATTCTTTGTATTTTTATAGCATTTGCTGAACTACAGACTGAGATGACAGATCTAACAGGGGATCTCACATCAGGTGGAATTCCATTCCTTGATTATCGCACATATGCCATGAAAATCTTGTTTCCAAATATTGATGATCATGTTGTACTGCAATGGGAACGGCCAGAACTGCTGCGCAAGGAGAAGGGACTTCGGCTCTTTGGCCAGCTGATAATGAACAAAACATTTCTCCTACTTTTTATTCGTACGCTTGAAAGCAACAGATATTTCTCCATGAGGGATAGGTATGTTGTCATTAATACTTGTGCATGTAACATTTTTTTAACTTTTTAAATGGCTCTGAAATGTGGTCTCAATATGAGGAGAGAAAACAGATGATAACAGTTTAGAAGAAAACTGCCAACAAAATTCAAGATCATATTCTGGGATTTGAAGCTGTATAGTTAAGTTTTATCCAGTATTCTCTGAAAGTTAAGTCCATACATAGATGAAATTACTGGGGATCATTGGTGTGGGTTTTGATGTAACAGATCATATCTTCTGCATTCGTCAGATATTGGACAAAAAATGGGAGTACAATGAGACAGTACATCAGCTGTTTGTAGACTTGAAGAAAGCTTATGATTCAGTTATGGGGGAAGTATTGTACAATATTCTGATAGAGTTTGGGGTACCCATGAAACCAGTTAGGCTGATTAAAATGTGTTTAAAGGAAATATATAGTAAAGTCCTTATAGGTAAATATTTGTCTGATAAATTTCCTATCTAGAATTTTCTAAAACAAGGAGATGCTTTATCGCCACTCCTTTTCAACTTTGCTCTAGAATATGCCATTAGGAAGGTCCAGGAAAACCGGGTGAGACTGAAATTAAATGGGACACATCAGCTGTTTGTCTATGCTGATGATGTGAATCTGCTTGGTTATAATATAGATACCATAAAGAAAAACACACAAACTTTAACTTACACTAGTAAGGAGATTGTTCTAGAAGCAAACACAGAGAAAACTAAGTATAGGTTGTTGTCTTGTCACCAAAATGCAGGGCGAAATCATGACATAAAGATAGGAAAGAGATGTTTTCAAAACATGGCACAGTTAAGAGAGTTGTTTATGGTTGTGTAGTAACCATGGTGTCCCCTGTTACGTCACTGCGTGGAGGGGATGGAGTGTTTACCAAGTGCTGCGTAATGATGGAAGGAGTGGGGCTATGTGACATCACTCACGTGACCCCTACTTCCTGTTGCGCCACCCACGTCACAATACTTTTAAATTTTTATATTTCTCTAGAATTTGTTTGTTGGTGTAGTCTAGTGAAGCCTGGTGGTAAACTCAAGAAATGCATATGTGCTCCTTGTAATTTATAATATTCTTCTTTACTTAAGACCAAAATTCATTACCATAATTAAGTTGCTTTTGATGTTATGTAGACATAATTTAATTTTATATCAGCTGAGATTTGTGTTAATTTAAATTACTTTATATGCAGTGAGAACAGCTAATGCAGAAGATCCTAATATTCATAATGTTATATTTCAGAGTGAATGTGGCTTCCCTTATAATGGTAACATTGCAGAGCAAAATGGAGTACTGCACAGACATTTTGAAGACTCTTCTGGCTGAATTAATCGAGAAATGTATGGAAGGAAAAAGTCATCCAAAACTGTTGCTCAGGAGGTAACATGAATCCATTTTACTGAAACTGTTTCTTCTGTTCAGAGAAACAAAACATGGTGAAGAGCCTACACACCACATCCTAAACAGATAACCTTTATGATACCATGTTTTCAAATACCTTATTTTAATTTTTATTAGGACAAATTGCCATAACTGAAGAAATTTTTTGGTTTATGTTGGTACTTGTACCTATGTTGGCATAGTACTTCAAAATATAAAAACTAATCTCTGTATTTAAGCATCCTGTTGAATTACTGTATCCAGTACTCTTTATTGTACTGCACAGTCCATCAACAGTACAACAAATTGTTCCTTTTTTCTTACACTTTCACTTTCAACACAACATGTTTCGGCCCTAAATGACCATCTTCTGGTGTCTTACTGTGCTACAACTGCTACGCTCCACTAATAGCCATTTGTCACATATGCAGCTGCACACTTCATGATTTAAAATGTCATACTCATAGTCAATTGGTATGCACTAAAATAGAACATGCTGTAGTTCACTAATTTAAATCAAAATGTAAGAAAGAAGGAACAATTTTTACACTGTTAACGGATTGTGTAGTACAATACCAACTCATGCCTCACATGTCTCCCATTTAATGCTTCATAAGTTCAGTAGTTAGTAATGTATTGCTGAATGACATAGCAATCGATTGATCCCAGCCACTGTTCAGTCTTCATTGTGTAACACTCGGGTCACCAATGTTACAGAACAGAAAGTGTTGCTGAGAAGATGTTATCTGCATGGTTCACGTTCCTCCTATACAAGTTCCTTCGAGAATGCGCAGGGGAGCCATTGTTCATGCTTTTCCGAGCCATGAAACAGCAAGTTGACAAGGGACCTGTCGATGCCATTACCTCAGAAGCACGCTACTCCCTTAGTGAAGAGAAACTTATTCGCCAGTCCATCGACTTCAAACCCATGGTATACTAATAAAATGGTCACTCAGTTGTAGTGAAATTTCTTTCATATGAACACTGCTTACAGTGAAGCCCCCATTTAATGTTCCTCAGTGTAGGTTTTTCTTCTTTCAACTTCAGTTTCAATAAAACCAAGTTAGTAATCTCAGTATTGAATTTGTTTCTGTTGAAGATTTTCCTCAATTTAGTGTTGAAATCCATTGTTCCCCAAAGAAACCTTAAACAGGGGCTTTACTGTATTTAGCAGGCATAACTTTGGTAGTTGCCTTCAGTACATAACTGTCTTACATGACTTAAAAAGAGAAACTGGAATGTCATTTTTTTCACCACACACTTGTCCCTTTACTTCCATGTGGTGACTATCATAGTCAGACAGTAGTCTCTCTCCTATCTCTGTTCCCTCTTCAAGTGGACTGATGGATGCACCTGACTGTGTCCTAAAAGTTGCCTGAACCTGATTCTGAAGTGGTCTGTTCTACATTTTCTACCTTCTCACTATCATAATTGAGTGATTTCCAGTTTGTAATGCAAGTATGGAGTGCCGTGCACTGCATTTGAATGATTGCTTATATTTTATGCTTCCATCTCATGAATATTACTTGAACTAGATGAATTTTTCTTGCTATTCTTTGAGAGGAAGGTATATTTGTTGTATCAACTGGATTTATCATTTTCTGAAGATTTCTGTTTTCTCGGATATAATGCTGTGTAGCCCATTGACTTTCAGCAGACTACAGGGTATTATACCCCATAAGATAGAACTCTTCATAACCACTTTTCAGAGAACTCGAGATCCTACTCAAATTTCTGTTTGAGGAAATGATCTTGGAAAAGTCAATTGCTATCACCCCTTAGGCGACATGTTGATTAAACTTTTATCAAATGAAAAAAATTGACAGTATGCTGGAGGAGTGTCATCTTATTATGAAAGTCAGTAATTTTGATTGTGATGACAAAGAAATAACAGAGTTATTACAAGTTTTAGGGCCAGTGTCATTATGCATGTCTGAATTCAAATTCATTTGGAAACTTCTCCACTATCTTAGAGGCTGGGATTGAAATCCTACCTCACAGGTAGATGAATGACCACATGGGGAGGAGAACTCATACTTGGACCAGAAAATTGTATGTAAGAATTTTACGGGAACAGGTGATGAAGTGATCTTTCCTTGAAATGATTCTGCTGTGAAGGTTGCCATATGACAATTGGATTAACACAGCACATGCTTCATAAAATAATGTCTGTCCGCAAGCAGTATCACTGTACGTGTGTGTTAAACCTGTTCGGGGTGGGGCGTGATTATGTGGCCTGATATCAGTCGCAGTCTTTATGATTGATTTTGTAACCAGATGGGCACAAAATAGTATCATATAGAAACTGTGGTCATTTTCGTCCTGGAAAGTCCAGTCTTCATTATCATCATCATAACCACCACCACCACTGTCACCATCTACATTTGCGCTTGCCTCACTGTCAGCAGAATTACTACAACTGTCACTCAAACCATGCTAATTTATTTTGGCATCAGGGTCAGTATGATGAAATATATTAATATCTGAATACTGGCTAAACTCACTGAAAGAATCCAAATCATTTTGTAGTTGTTCGTGGGTCTGTTTCCTGTCCAGTGCACACCCACTGGAAGATGCCATTCAGATATAACTACAGAGAAAATTATACACAGACCCTTTGCAAAATCTGTTATAAAATTCACAAAATTATCGCAGTGAATGGTTTGTTAACGCCACCGCAAAGAGGAAGCCTTTCATGACACTGAAGCTGTTTGCCTCCCTCAAACTGACTCCAGATCATTCATTCATAAAACGTGGTGGGCCAAGTCTGACATAGGACCGGAAGCCGATATTTTCGTTGGTGGACTCAGTCCGACATAGGACCAAAAATGTTAAACAGATATGGAAAGGTAGATGCACTGTTTCTCCTGTGGGCTGTATATGAAATTGATGTGTAAATTTGTATCCTCTTCTTAATTTTTATGTGGTACCATCCTGCGTAAANGTTGTGGTTTTTTTTTTTTTTTTGTAAAGCAAATCACAATTAATAATGCTAATTCATGTGTTTGCAGACGGTGTATGTGTCCATATCACAGCAAGCTGTGTTTGTGAGTGGGTTGGATCCAAACACAGAGAATGTTCCAGTTAAGGTGTTAGATTGTGACACCATTTCTCAAGTGAAAGAAAAGGCACTTGATACAATATACCGTGCCACACCTTACAGCCAACGGCCACGCAAGGATGACCTGGATATCGGTAAGTCCAGATATTCTGTTATTTTTCGCTTGGACATTGTTCCTGTCACAGCCCTCCCCTTCCTTAGTTTGGATGGACCTTTTGAGTTTTATTGTTAAAGGCTGCATGTTTTATCTCATGCTTGAAACATGTTTTCATGGCCAAGAAAGAAACATGACATTACACACCTCTGATTTAATGTTTCAGAGTAAATTTATGACATATGCAGTTCATACTTACATACTGAAACTGAAGATTCTTTAGTATTGCGTCTGACTTGTGTCTGGGAAGATTATGATTCTAATGTCAGCTGAGGATTTTAATTTTCTCTCCTCGTCCTCTGATACTACCTTGAAAATTTGATCATGATTAATCTTAAAGTATGAACTGTGGCTGTGTCACCTGTTACTTTTTGGCAGGTTAGTCCCTTTCACATTAACATGTCTCTTCTTGACATGATCTGCCACTTTTATATCAAACAACACTTATGTTAGTGCAGAATCTTGTGATATTGTAATTCAGTGAATGCCCGCTTGTATTTCATAACTTCTGGCAACCTTGCAGCAGCTCATGGCCTCTAGCCTTGAAACATATTTCTCTGTTTTTGTCTTTCTCACTTGGAGCTCTTGTGTACACAGTAGTGGGAGATGAAATCTGTGTTACTCGTATGAACACACTGAAAGCTTAAAACAGATTGAAAATGTAATATTTGTAAGATTTGAGGCTTTCACGGCGGTGACTATGAAGAAAGCAGTCTGCTTTACCGTTTCTCACGGTGTTGTCGCTTGCAGATTTCTTATACTTTTTCTTCTACCCTGAAGATGGGGGCGATACGTTCCTGCGAAACGTTGGTTAACACCACATATACACGGTGCCAAATCCCAGAAGACTGCTTTCTTCAATGTGATATTTGTTGTGATGTGACGGCTGGAAGCTAAAATAGCAAACCCAGCTGGTAAACACATTTACATGGCAACTAAAACGTGCTCCCGCATCAACAATACCCTGGCAATTGCTAGGCAACAGCCCATTTAACGCATCACTTATCAGTAGAGGAATTCTTTGAAGGTGTTTTCTATGTGGTCTCTGCTGATATTGAATAGTTAGTCTTGACTTCTGGGTCAGAAGTCAACGGTCGGAAGCCAGAAGTCAGAGTCAGCAGTAAGCAGTCCACAGTCCTGGGTTGCGGTGTTAGATGCTGCTACCAAGCAACAACTAGTGAAGACATGGAAGACTTAGTGTTTTCAATAGTGATTTGTAGAGTGTGTAGGTTAGTGAAAGTGTTACAAAGTTACGAATTATAAGCATTCAGTAATTCCAGTTATCAGTCCATATCACATGTTAAGTCACTATTACATAACGATATAATCAAATTCATTATGATGGCCCATAGTTTTGTAACCCTTAAAAAGAGGCAGGCAAATACAAAGCTGATCACTTTTGATATGACCCCAGTGTGCAAAGCAGAGGCACTTGTTAGAAAGCTCTTGAAGCTCAAGAATGATTAATTTACATTTGAACCAAGATCAAGAATGTTTTTCTCGGTCCTCTCTTGAAAATTCATGACTTACACATGCCTATTTAAAATGTCACATTAATAGTGGAAATATTATTATGCTCTGAAGTCGAACCAGAATCTTTTGTTCTCTCAGCTCATCTAAAAGTCTTAAGTGTTAAAATATATAGGAGTATTTTCTTTCTGGTGTTGAACTTGAAGGGAAGACAGAGAGCTTGAGTGTATTTCAGAATGTTCTGCGGAGAAGAGTGGATGTGAAGCAATGAAATGAGTATGTAAGGAGAAGCTTCATAATTTATGTACATCATCAGTTACTGATCAGACTGAGGTGCTAGAGATTGACGAGGCATATAGCATGTATGAGAGAGCTGAGAAATGCTTACAGTATTTTGGTTGGAAAACCAGTTGGGAGGACTTGTTATAGATGGGAGATAATATGATGGTCTGAAATTGTACTGTATGAGGGTGTTAAGTTCTGTCGTCTGGCTCAGGGTCCAGTTGTTCTTAACACAATAATGAACCTTCAGGTTGCAGAAATTTCTCGATTAGCTGAGTGACTATTGATATTATCTTATTAAGAACTCTATAGAGTTAAATGTTTTGAAATCCCAGTGATTGTACAGTCTGATGTTAATACTGCATATATGTTCTGGATACATTTCCTGCCATCTGTAACAGTCTCTTATGCCAAGATAGGAGGTTTGTTTCATGTCTCAAGGAGAGTTCAGTTTATGCCTTTTGAATATAACTGGACACTGCACTGTTGGCTTATCCTTTGTCATGCCATTTAATTGCTGTGTATCAGAATGCTGTATACTGGTGTATAGGAAAGTGTTAAATGTAATGTGATTTCTGCAGCATAGGTTTTGTAAGACTGTAGGCATTAAGTAATTACTGTTGGTATTGATTTTACTAGAATGGAGGACAGGTACATCAGGGAGGCTAATACTCTATGATGAAGATAGTACAACCAAAACAGAAGGAGAGTGGAAGAAGAGGAACACCTTAAATCATTACAGGGTGAGTATATTAAACATAATATCTTGAAAAGCAGTTTCTTGAATTGGTGGTATCTGACTGCCAAAACAACAGTGAAAATAAACCAATCAGATTGCTCACATTGGTTTCATCTGATAGTTGCTACATGTTTCGGTCCACTTTTGGGACCATCTTCAGACAGTCTCATCAAATATGTCTCTTATTTTTTAACTGCCCTAATATGGACCCACATTATCGCAGTTTCTTGAGGTTAATGGAAAGAATTACATTTTCTAAGTATTTTACACTGCCTAAATTCCACTCAGATTCTTCAGTTTGCTAATTGAACATGTCATCTCCTTTATATAGTTTGCACAATTTCTAAGTCTGCATTTCAGATATTTTCCATATATTCGTCCTGTGTGTGCAGTCACATTCAGAAGTAAGACTGCATGAGGTACGCTTTAGCAGTGACTGACCTGTTGTCAGAAATATATTATTTAGCATTATCTTGTAAATAGCTGTATGCTTTTTACCAATGAATGTGGTGTTAAAGGAAAAGGAAGAACTTGTTTGAAATGTAAGATGATGTATTTAGTTGCATAATTTACACAGCCATACTTTTATACTTATGGGGAAGGTGTATTGAACATAAAATGGGAATTTTATTTTTTATCTGTAATGTCTGTCCTAAACTATTTTTTCCTGATAAATGTTTAGTGAGTTATGCGTGAATTGTGTGAGATACACTTGGCAGGAACATATTTTGGTCTTTATATAAGTGTTCGTTTTTGTTGTCTGAGTTTAGCCAAAACTGAAATGCACTGACAGATTTTAGTAACAGTGCCCCAAAATAAAACTGAATGAAAATCCATTTTGCAGTTCTTCAGTTGTTACATGCAGACAGGTAGATGGACAAACATGGTGAAGCCAATATATGCATTTTCACAACCATTCGTTGCAAATGCAGTTATTTCAAATTATCACAGATTAATTGACTTCATACCTTGATAAACAGCCAAAGTCCTAGTGCATTTTGGTGGTGGGGAAACCAGACAGGATCCCACTTACAGAGGCAGAGTTTCTCTGAAGCACCTATCTGTTCCATCCACATAAATAAGCAACAAGTGAAATGTTTTCTCTCCTGCAAAAATGTCATGACTTCAAGTAGACTTATTTTCCATTAATGTTGAAAGCATTGTATTTTTAAATAAGAACATGTAAATTAAAAATATTATAAAAGTATATTGTGTTGTCTGCACTTGTATATGTTTAACTGTGTACTTCTTCATATCTCATGACATTAAAAATGGTAATTGTGTCAGGAATAATTGCACAAGAAGGCACCATAATACTTGGCAACAGTATCACCTCATATGGATACTCCCCTTCGTCAGGAATTTAAAAGTTTGTTGCTACTGCACGGTAGTACTGAAGCTCTGCTGGTGTGTGGGGCTGTTGCTGTATAATTAAGTGAAGAAGAAAATAAATTATTAATCAAATCTGTAAAAACATATGAAGCTTAGTAACCAGAAATATTAAATAAATGCCCTCATAATAAAATTGTAAAAATACAATTTCTTCAGAAGCCTTATTTATCACATTATTTGAAATTCTGAAATCATGATTTATATTTAAGATTTATTTTATTAACATACTTGTAGGACTGATTAGGGTTCCTGTTGGGTAACATATAGAGAATTCTGGAAAGGCCATATCATTCAGAATATTTTTAAATGCTTCCCTCTGTATACAGAAGCTACTAGATTAATAATTTACATTTTGCTTGTCCTTCATTTTCATAATTTTTTGCTAGTATAGATTTCCATGTCCTGAAAGTTATTGGATGAAACCTCTAACACTTGCACTCTTGCCATATGTGTAATTTTAAATTCACAAAAATGATGGAGGGGTTTTAAAAGAATGAATATTGCATAATGATTGATTCGAAAGTTGTTAGAGGACACAAATATATGCATAATGGTACCATAAACCCCACTTTCCATATAAAATAATGATAGCAGGTTAAGGAAATTAAATTAATAATGGGCTCAAAAAATGCACAAAACATTGTAGCTGTAACATATTTTTCAGATGTGAAGAAGGATCAAATTAGATTATGGTTGCATTGTGGACGATAGCTATTTCCTGATTCAGAACATGGGCTGACCTTAGCAAATGTTTTTTTAGGTGAAAAGTGTAGAAATAGTCATAGTATTGTAAATAAAATAAAATGAATATCATGGCTTTGTGGCAATTACAAAAATTGTGTTTTATTCTGTGCATGTGTCTGTAATATTGCACTTCTTATCCAGGTACCAGATGGAGGTGCACTGAATCTAGTCTCAAAACAATCATCCTTCTATAATCTGTCGATTCTCCCAGAGAAGACAGACAAGTCTCACAAGTATGAGACACTTAATTTGTCCAAGTTCAGCTCAGCAAGTCCACCACTGAGCCGTGCCACATCACCACTCAATCATGACCACGATGGAGGACTCAAGGTCAGGATGGAATAGGGTCTCAGTTCTTTGCATAGCAGATCTCTCAAGCGTTCTCGAGACTACTGTATACATAGTTTTATATACTGTTGGAACCTGTGATTTAATTCCTATAAAGATATTCTTACTATAGAAATATGACTGTATTTTCATGGGTTCTCTCTGACACTGAGTAATGACTGAGATATTATTTGATCCAGAGAGGATGCTTCCTCTCCAGTGATCATAATTTCATAATTCCTATTCACTTTAACTTGTGATAATTGTGAGAGGTTCAACTACAGAAACAATAATTTGCAAGTATAGTAAGTCCTAAGAGAATGTAAAACGGTTTCAGTGGATTATCCCATGATAGGTCTTGCTACCTCAGCCACTGAAAATGACATGGAAGTGTACAGGCTACAGTATGCTCAGGGGATATGTGAAAGTTATGGTAAATTGCTTGAGAATGCTTTGAATTGCTTGAATTCATGCTGTAAACAGTATAACGTCATTAACACACTTCGCTGGTTTTTCTTGAAATTTGCTGTTGTGAATACAGTCAACTCTCGATTATCCGGGCTAATGGTGGGGATNTTTAAAGATGATTGCTTAACATCATGACTCTGCAAAAGGTGACTGATGTTTCTCCCAAAAACCTGACATCACAAAAGTGTGTTGTGGTGTGTACCAAATTTTTATTTTGCTTCTTTGGCAGTAATTGGCTCCCTTTGCTGAACTTCTGCAGATACTATGGGCTCATGCTAATTCTTGCATTCTCCTTTTAGATGGAATGTAGAAGTAGAAATATTGAGATTAAAGTAAAGCCATGCCAAGACAGTGCCTTTAAAATGATTGCTGATGCCTGTGGTGAAGTAAAAGCTGCAAGCAATGATTCCAGTATGGATAAAACTGTTTGATGACAGTGGTACTTATTAGTGAAAATGTTTCAGTTGGTAGCAGAAACCATCTGTTTAGAAATCTTATAGAGCAAGAGAAAGTCCTTCAATAATAGTAATGAGAGCACTGAAAATGTGAATAGCAGTTAATATTCAGTGGACTTTCTCTACAGTACAGCCTTAAATCATTCAGGTTTGTGGTTTAGGTATGAAGTTGCCATGTCCTTTTTTTTTTTTTTGAAAGCCCCCCCCAAAAAAAAAGAATGTGGAGGAGCAGGAGATGGGTTGGGTACCAACTAACATTTCAGCATAGGCTGCGCCATAGTTCAAACAGTTAGTCGCTGGCTTCCCACCGCGGCGGCCTGGGTTCGATCCCGGGTCTGATCAAGTGGGATTTGTGGTGGACAAAGTGGTGCTGGGGCAGGTTTTCTTCGAGTACTTCGGTTTCCCCTGTCAATCTTCATTCCACCAAATTCTCCATCATCATAATCACCTGGGGCAGGCTACAGTAGGCCAATCAGTGACCGCTGTGCCAAGTGGACCCAGTTGGAGTCGACCCCCCACTAAGCGAATTAAAAAAATTAAAATTAACATTTCATCATTGTTTTAAGTGGATTGTAAAAGTATACATTCCACATTATACGGATTGAGAATACAAGAATCTGAATCTGTGCAGAAATTATTTCTGTGCACAGGCATTCAGGCTTGATCTGCATGACCTGTTAGATCTGTCATTATAAGAGGCTTGTGGCTTGCAGGTCTGGCACCTGGTCAAACACCATGACACAGATACCCAGAAAGAAGGGGAACGAGGCAATAAGATGGTGTCTGAGATTTATCTCACCAGGTTACTAGCAACCAAGGTAAGTATAAGGCTGTAAATGCAGTTCATATGCTTCTGTTTTGATCTCTTGATCTGTTCAAATCCATTTCATGAAAATGTTACATACGTTTTGTAATTTCTAATTTATTTCTTGATACTTTTGGAATAAGTTAACATACACTCTTAAAACATTCACATCTTCAAAGTCACTGAATAAATCTCTCTAAGGTTTACAAATCATTAATCCTTATTATCCAGGAATCTGGGCTATAAATCTCCCAGTACTATGGGGGTATTGTCCTTGTCTTAATTTGGGGATAACAATTTATTGTCCAGGAATAGCGGATTTAATCTCCCAGTTCTGTGGATCTGATAGCCATATTTTAACTCAGGGTAATGCTATTAACATTGAAACAATGCAACCCTCGGTCATCTAGGCTGTATAGCCTGCTTGACAGGTGTGGCAATAAAGAACCCGGATTACTTTTATGACTCATTTCCGGCCACGTCATTGACGAAGAGGAGGGTAGGGCATTGACCCTTGGACTTCCCTCTACCGTCACACAAAGTTTCATTCACGTGCATCGGTTAGTCTGGCCGCGACCATTGTTAGAAGCGGATCGTGTTTCTGAGCTCCGTCGGAATAATGCTGAGTGCTAATGCAGAACAACGTGCTAACATCAAATTCCTCANGTTGTCAGCTGTAAGTTCCATTGATATGACATAAAAGTAAAGGTGAGTTAATCATTTGGCTGCCTGCTAAAGATATATTTTCTCCACTGATCATCAGAACTAAATATCTGACATTTATATATTTCATATGCTCTTTTTCAATAATCATGAAAACAATTCAAGAAGTAAAAGAAGTATAATATTCTCCATTCGATAATGAAGCTTTTGAGTTGCAACACTTGACAGCTTTACCAGGTAGAAGCAATGTGCAAGATACCTCATCAGAAACCAACTGAAGGGTTTTGTTTCTTACATAGTTCCCCCGATAGATATGTCACTGAGCATTATATTGCGGTGCTTGGCACTCTTACTCAGGAGGTCCTAGGTTTGGATCACAGCCCAAAGACTGCGGGTCCAAACTCAGGCACAGGTATGTAAAAATTTAAAATATTTTTGTATCTCATACTGCCTACTTTGCTTAATTTTTGTGTGATATCTTCATTGTAGGGTACCCTCCAGAAGTTTGTGGATGATTTGTTTGAAACAATCTTCAGCACAGCTCACCGAGGAAGTGCACTACCTCTGGCCATCAAGTATATGTTTGACTTCTTAGACGACCAAGCCCTCCAACACGGTATCTCTGATCCAGAAGTTGTTCATACTTGGAAAAGCAATAGGTAAGAACATTCATCACATTGGAGGATATTGTCACGTGTTGGGTAGGTCACGCGCAATAAATAATTTCACACCATCTTGGATATAGCGAATTTATTGAACACTTGCTCTCACATTTACAGTTCTACAACTACTGCCATCTGCAGTATCACAATTACTTCTCCTGCTTCCATTCACTCCAGCGAATGCTAGACTGAAACTGACTGGTTACTCTGGTAATTCTCCTCATTATGTAGCTTCCGCACTGACAACACAGAAAACAATTATGTGATAGCTATCACTGTTGCGTAAATGCGGTGTTTACAGGCGTTGCTGGGGAACGCTGTCGAGAGTTTTTTATTGCTGCGTAGTAACCGTGGTGTCCCCTGTTTCGTCGCTGTGGGGGAGGGGGGACAGAGTGTTGACTGGCCTGTTACCATAGCAGCGGCAGTTGTTCCGATGCTGTTATGTCACCCCTGAAGGAGGGGGGGGTCTTTACCGAGTGTTGCGCCGTCCACGTCACATTATATTTGAACTGTAATAAAATTGCATGAAAGTCTCGTAACTATTTTTTAACGTTGCTAACAAATTTTTGAAACAAACTTTTAAATTTAAAGTACCTGTACAAAGCACATCAGAGGATCCAAGATAGGGTTTTGAAGAACATTTGTTAGAAACATTCTTAGAGAAGGAACTTAGCATTAATATATACCAAATGTAATGTAAAAATATAAATAATGAATAATGGGAGGAATAATAGAAATCATTTGTGGGAATTATATTTAACTTGTTAAAAATTATTGCTCATTTGTTTCTGGATAAATGACATAAGAACTGTGTACTGGCATCATGATGCATATTCTTTACCAGATCTTGACATATATTAGTGGAGGTAAAACATATTTTTCTGCATGGTATAGGACTTAGAATTTGTCATTATATGAGAATATATGATCTGGAGTTCATGTAAAAATGCAGATCCATTTGTCTGATAGTCTCCCATGCATATGCACATAATCAAAATAAGAATTGCTGTCAAAAAACAGACTAGTCTAGCTGTAATGGTCTGAACTTCTATTCTGGAGATGCTGAGTTCACATCTCACTTGTTATTCTGACCAAACTTTTTGTGGTTTTGCTCTGTCTCTTGAGGCAAGTGCCAGAAGAGCACCTTATTTGGGCCACAGTTGCTTTCTCCCAAATCCCTTCCAGTACATCATCAGTTTTCTGCTCTTTGACACTATATTGTTTCACTCAAAATAATCCACACAAAATGGAAAGCAAATAAGATGCATTCCCATTCAAGCTGAAATTTACTCATTCTTCTTACTTTCCAACCTTGTGAAGACAGCCTGCTGCCTTGATGATGTATCAGGATTGAAGAGAATTGACTAAAATAGAATTATTTCTTTGCAAACCTTTAAGATAATTCCATTGCCATATCAGCGTTCTAAAGTATGTAATTTAATATTTAAACTATATAACAGTGTAACCCAAGAACAAATTCAAAACACACAATTACTGGGTTTTTGGACCGTGTCCATTGTCCGGTATTCCAAAGACTAGAAAACGTTTCGGAAACCGGATCTGTTTCCTATTCTCAGGTGAGGAAGAGACACCTACTCTGTTGGGTCCAGTGGTTGAGGTTAGCTCTTTCTGAGGGACCGAACAGAGTACGTGTCTCCCTCACCTTAGGATGGAAACAGATACAGTTTCCAAAATGTTGTGTTTTCTTGTTTTTAGAATACCAGACAATGGACAACATCTAGAAACCCTGTAATTTTGAGTGTTTTACACCATAAGAACCCCTTTAAAATTATAAACTCCTAACTGATTTGAACATACACAGGTAATAAATAATAATTATATATATTAACCTAGTTTGGAGTCTGGAATTATTTGTTAATTAATTTCTTTTCCAGTCTGCCTCTTCGATTCTGGGTCAACTTAATAAAGAATCCAAATTTTGTATTTGATATCCACAAGTCCAATATAGTGGATTCCTGCCTTTCCGTCGTAGCACAAACCTTCATGGATTCCTGTTCCACATCAGATCATAGATTGGGTAAGGTTTCGCTTAGTACTGCGTGTAATTTTTTGAAGTATAACTTGTAATTTCCATGTAGTGGCAGCATCTAGGATTATAATGTAAATATTGATTTCTAACCAACAGGTAAGGACTCGCCAAGTTCCAAGCTGCTCTATGCAAAGGACATTCCAGTGTACAAAGAATGGGTGGAGAGGTATTACTCAGATATCAAGATGATGCCAGCCATCTCAGACCAGGACATGAATGCCATGTTGGCAGAAGAGTCTCGGGTATGAGCTGCTTATTATATTTTTAAATATACTGTAAACCTTAAATGTTAAGTACAAAATCTGATGCATATGATGTTGTAAACTCCAAATTTTTCTAGTTTAGTTTTATGTAGAACCATCTTGGATGCCAAAGTTTGTGCGCTTGCCTGGTCTAATTGTTACATGGTGACTGCCCATTCTGGTGACAGATGTCAGCTTTCACTTCTAACTACTGAGATAGAAAAAGAAAGGGAGAGAAATGAGGGACGAAGAGATTAAAACAGTGGCAGGTTTATCGCACGAACTTGCTGCAATTTCCATTTTGCAACATACAGTAAAGTGTTGGAACTTGAACTTAGGACAGTTAGGAAATCTTAAAACTACTGGATAACACGAACTCAAATATTTTCAGAAATTCAAGATGCTAGATTCATCCCCATAATTTCTGTAGATAACAGTATGCATTAACATGCACACAAATACATATATACTAGTGCAAAAGACCTTTCATGAAATTCAACTGGGAATCGTTTTTTCATATCCTCTACCTCTTTCATACCTTTATCTTGTACCCTTCTTTCTCTGTTAGGACAGTGAAGTGAGTTACATTTTTATTCTTCATGTGGCACATTATCACCTTTGTATGTATTTAAAACTAATGTGGCCATTAAATGAGGTAACACACACAGTCAAATAACATACATATCAAGCAGGTTGGAATAGCAGTCACACTGTAGACTTGTAGTCAAGACGGGCTGAGTTTGAATGAGCTGGGACACCAGCTATCATGAGTGGTTTCGTAGTTTTCCCTGGTCCCTCTTGACAGTTTTATTGGTGAAGTTGAGTTTCATGAAGAATAAACATCTAAAATCTTCACACAAATGAATTTAAGTGGTTTACCAAATACATAAGAATTTGAATGCATTAGGCATGCTAATCAGATTTAAGACTGTGGGATGGCTGGGATGGTGAGGGGATGTTTAGTGGGGTGGGATTGGTAGACAAACCAACAGCCCAAAAACAAGTAAAGATGGCAGGTACTGCCATTCCCATTCTTGGATAATGGCCCTGTATGCTGGTGATCAGATTCTCCAGCATACCATAGCATGATGTAATCACCAGAGATTCAGAGTAAGATAGCTCCAAACTGCTGCTAAGTCCTGAAGACATTAGAAGAGGAGAAGGAATAAACCAATAAATAGAGGGAGAGAAGTGAGGAGTGAATATTGGTGCTGAAAGGGGAAGAAAATACAGATTGAATAATCAAAGACCATGTAAGGAAGGTAAATATGGACTCTCCAATATTACAAATGTATAAGGTGGCAGAAAATTATGCAGAAAGATAGAAGCAGAGACAGAGAGAGAATAGAGGTGCACATGAGAAAGAACAGGAGAATCTCAAGTGCAGAAGTAGAACAGGATGGAGTTTGTAGAAGTTAAGTGAGGAGATGCATCAAAGAACATAAATACAGTGAGCATAGAAGGATAGAGAGGTAAGTAAATAAAGAGACTGCAAAGTTCCAGTGCAGCTTTGCGAGTAATGATCTGCATTTTTCATTATTTTGCCAGAACAGTAAAGTGTAGTATATATAATTTTTTAATTATTTTCATGAAGCAGAGGTGAATTGAACAAAAAACAAAAATGAATAAAACATACTAAGCAGAATAGTGAATTAAGCAAATTTCCACAAGATGACATTCAAAACGAATAATTTGGCAGTTCATAAACGTTTAGAATATAGAGCAGAAATATTATAACACACCTGATTAAGACATATGAAGTATCGAAAGGTGGCGTATACTTGTAAATAAAATGTGTCATAATGCCTGTAAATATTGGTTTATGATTGTATTAAGTGTTATATGTTTCTGTTTCAGTTGCACACGACAGAGTTCAACACCAATTGTGCTCTTCATGAGCTGTACACTTACGCAATGAAGTACAATGAACAATTGACTGTGACATTAGAAGAAGATGAATTCTCTCAGAAACAAAGACTGGCATACAAGTTGGAGCAAGTCCACAACATAATGGCAGCAGAATCAAATCCGTGATGGCGGTCTGCCGGACCTGAGTCGAACACGACGTTCGAGGTCCGGTGTTAAGTTACGGAACTTATGGGAGAGTGCAGCAAGCTGTGTGTTTGTGTGTGTATGCGTGTATGTGATGTGCTTCACTGGCAGGGAAGTTGCTTGGCCATTGTCCTGAGACATCCATCCAAAGTAAGTGAGCAAGCCAACAAACAAGCTGGAGTGACCAATGTGTGTATGTATGTGTGTGTTGCTTGTGTGGCAGTCTGGAAGGATGGGGAGGCCTTGAAATTTCCCCTGAACAATTTGTTCTTTGCTCAATGACTGGTCGGTTGGTCAGTACTAGAGCTGCCACAAGTGTGTGCGGTTGCTTTTTGTGGGTTCCTACAATAATATGGATGAGGCGGGCCAAAGAGGAAATGCTATTTGGAAATTACATTGAAGTGCCTCCAGTAGTAACAGAGTATTTGATGAAAGGATTATTGAGCCCTGGCCAAGACAGTTTCAAGCATCAAGACATTTCCAGTTGTTGGCAGGTGAGAGGGAAGTGGGAACGTGGAGCTCGAGCACAGTACCCACTCTGCTAAGAAGAACCATGCTGAGGAACAAGATGAATCTTAATGAAGCCAGTGTTAACCATGTCGAAAGGGACATACCAATATGGAGGTCTCATCTGATATGTTTATCGACACATTTTCTTGTCGCTTGGTTTTCTTCTTCGCAGTGATTCGATGCCGTTCTACTTTTGTTTCTCTTAAGGTGTATGTTGATGATTTAAATGTCTTCCATGTTCCCTTCTTGCACCAAATTTCCACACCGAACCAGCACGGGACGCTTGAAACGTGTATATTTGTACAGTTTTCCTCGGATCCATTCAATAACCTACTTGCTGCTCGGACTTGCCATTCAACTAGTATAGCTGTGTGTCTGTGTAGATGTCAGTGTTTCATTTAAAGGTGCACATGCGTACAGCACACTGTCTCAGTGGTACTTTTGTCTGCTCTGTGTGTCGGTGTGGCGTGAGGATAATCTTAACCGGCAACTGTTTTTAAATGAGGACCAAGCAATCAATTCTCCGTATGATTCCCGACCGATTGTTGCGGGTGGCCGGATTGCTCGCATCGACGGTTTTCATTCTGTTTGATTCATGTTAACCTCTTATCTGATGTGTTGGCATGAATTGAACAAATCTGTCACAACTCAGGAAAATTCTGTTGTGAGTTTCCATTGAGCCACACAAAAATGAAGATAACATTTCTTAAGACTGGAACTTGTTTGAGTATAGTACATAAAGGATAGCAAATTGCCAAGGGAGGCCACCATGTTCTCCGCTACAGTGACATCATCGAAATGTTATGTATTTTGTTTGACCTTTAGTAACTGTTCAATGAACATAAATGTTTCAATCTTTTTAAATCCTCTGAACAATGCTGGTCTCCCTTTTTTCATTGTCACGTTATTATTGTTTTCTTGTTCTACTGAATGGATATGCTCAGTGTTTTGTCACTTTAATGGAAATCAGTTTTTCATGCAGATGTTTTCTCTTTATTCAATGCCATGCTTTCAGAACATCCTCTTTCCACATTATGTTCCCAGTGTTCATCCACAAGAACTTCAAATAAATTTCCTTAATTATATCATGTATAAAGCAGCAGTGCCACAAATGACAAATTGATTTAAAAGTAGTAAAAACATGGGAGGAAATAAAATGACACCCAACCAAAATGGAAGGAATGAAAGTTATGTTATCTACAAGCAGTGTCCATTTGGTCAGATTTTTTCAAAATTGTGTCATCACGTATACACCAGCATAAGAAAATGGCTACTGCTAACCCCATATTAAGAACTGTCATGTCTGAGAGCAGATCTTTGCAGGCATGATATTCAGTTTATATACAGCTTACTGAGTGATGCTTGTCAGTCACTTTATTTCTTTACTCTATAACCAGTCAGGTGTTAGGATAGCCTGTTATGTAATGTAAACTGATTGGATGATAGTGAACAGTGAAGAGGAAAGAAAGTGATCATGGCATGGCTTAAGGTGCCATCCTTGTGCTTGCCTGGAGGAACTGAGGAAAACCATGAAAATCCTCAGTCTACTTGGTTTCCCAGTGAAGATTCAAACCAGGCACCTCTCAAATGTAAGTCAAATGCATTACCACTTGAGTCAGCTTACACAGTGTGAAGTTAAGACTGACAAAAAAAAATAATCTTTTTTTTTTTACTGATTACCAGCATTATGCATTGCATGGTAAGTGTATATCCTCTCTTAAAATAGTATTTAGTTGATAGTAAGTAACACTCTTGAATATAAATTCATTGACTCCTGGGCAGAGCCATTTTGCAGAAGTGTAGTGTCCATCTTATTCAACATCATAACTAAGCCTATTAGATTAGCAGTAATGGTCACTTGAGTGTGTGTAGTCCAAGTAAAGTAAGTAAAGGTATCCCCATAACAGGCCGTGGCCGTGGAGGCCCATAGGGTTGTGAGATGTTGAGGTGCCCACATTTTCTAGACAATCAGCTCGTAGATAGGGATAAGGTTGTCAGCCTTGCACGCTGGCCGCCCTTTACCCCCCAAGAATATTCCTAGTACTCATTTCTGTCAGAGGTTGAGTCGACTCCAGGGCCATAGTGTGGCTAGAAGGATTAGGTCAATTGAAAAATCCACCTTGGTACAAAACACTGAAATATATAATAAGTTTAATAACAACGTCTTTAATACAACTGTCACAACACAAATATCAATATCAGTGCCTAGTTTTGGCTATCAATAGCCATCATCAGGCAAACACCACTGAACTGCAGTACTAGTAAAATGTCGTTTACATTCCCTACAGAACAGACAATTCTTTGTAAGATGAGGCATCAACTAAATTAACATTAATTTACTACATCTACACCACTAGCCTCCTATACAATTCTGTATACAAAAAATATAGAATATTCCAATTTGTCCATGGGAACACAATGAAATTACAAAACCAACAACTGATTCGATGATATAAAACATCAATCTAAGAATTTTATTCATGTTTTAAATAATTTGATTTGTTGTATTTTTACATGAAGTGTTTTATATAATTAATAGTATTTTATCCAATTTTACTAATATTGCAGTTCAGTGGTGTATATATGTTAACCGTGTATTTGCCTGATGATGGCTATTGATAGCCGAAACTAGGCACTGATCTTGATATTTGTTGTGTTGTGACGGATGTAATACAGAGGTTGTATATTGTAACACAACGGGATGCATGAAATGAAAATTATAAAAGCTGAATAACACTTTACACAACCAAGCATAGTTCTTGCAGTTAGCAGCATTAATGTGCATAGCTTAGAGCTGAATTGGGAGAACAGATGAGAATGCATGAAGTGCATAGAACAGAGGAACACTTGGCATCGATACAGTTAAAACCATGTGTGTCCAGAAACAGACATTCTGATGTGATGAATAAATGTTCCGTAATCTGTTTCTCTTAATATTCTTACTAGATTGAGTGCAATACTCATAATGTAAGAACAGTTCCTTACATGATATAGTAAGGCATAGTTGGGCTAAACCGAAAGTTGCAGAACATATAAAACAAATATCGTTTAGATGATAGTTCATCATCTCAGAAATTTTGGGCTTGAAGGAATTCTATATATTTCTAATTTTATTTGTGGTAGTAAGCATAACATTCATATACACAAATAATATGTTGAACATGGAGATTTAACTTCGTAAATGACTACTTTCGTTTCGCAACCACATCAAATCAAAATTCATACTTACCAGTTTGCTTATAATGAATCACCATTACCGCATATAATTGCGGGAATTCGAATTGGATTGTGTAGGGGCTCTGATTGGTCGAGATCTGTGTGTAGTATCTGCCTCCACACATAGAGGCAGTAGTTACCGTGTTTCCCTTTCTCACATTCCAGTTTAAAAAAAAATTCTACCCCCTAACTAGAATCGTGGGTTCGAACCCAACTCGACGACTGGATGTCTGAGTGCGTTCATTTTGCTTGTGTTGTTCTGTGTGCAGGTAGCGGCCTTGCGACAGGCTGATCCCCCGTCCAAGGACTCCTACCGACTGTGTATAGATTAAGAAACTGAAAACGCTGCCAAGGTCTACAAGGTTTGTAGAGCCATAGATAGATTAATGAAAAAACAAATTCAGAACCCTTGCTGTTTCCTTTGCCACCCCTGGATATTATGGATTCAAAATTTGTGATTCCTGGACTCTTTACATACAAATCTTGCATCTGAGAGACCTAAGACTTTGCCGCTTCAAGTGAATAGGGTAATGAATCGTTGGACTCTGTAAAAGACCAGATATTTCCATCACCGCACAACTATTGTCTTCTAATAAACGCAATAAGCACCAATTATTACTTCTGAAGGAGAATGTATAACACGTATACTAGCGCCGATATTTGGTGTAACATTATTGTACTGGCCAACGCATGCCACGGATTACTTAGGTATTTACGTCACGATGGTCATGATTCCGAAGACAGCCGAATTGTTGAGTTCTGTTTAATTCGGGATGTGTCATGTAAGGTTAAGGCGTTTGTTTTGGTGTCTCTTTCGTCAGTAACCTTATTGGGTCGTTTCGTGTAAATATGTAGTAACTAGTTGTCAGTATTGCTGTTTAGAATAAACTAAACCGCTAAATCGTGAACATCGAATGGGGGATTATATGTGAACTTTGTAGTTTGGAATTTTTAAAAAGACGATGGAGAATGATGAATATGTTGATAGTAGTTCAGCTTCAGGTATTAGATTGTTTTGTTGAAAGTTCTGTATCTTTCTTTGTCTATATTTGGTTTCACCTGTAGTTTTATTAAATAACGCTACAACTGAAGATGGGAACATTTTGGAGTAACATCAGAGGACAAATGGCCAGATTGTTACGTGGAAATCAAAGTACGAATCACGTTGGCGATTTGGATCTCATTGCTGTTTTCATTTGACAGCGCAGTAACTATTTTAAGTGCAAGAAGATTTAGTATAAATGTTTGAAGTCAATATGTATATGATTGATTCGTGTATTTTTTTTTTTGTTATCCTAAGTAAAACTTCTTTGAGTAAGGTAAAGCTATCCCCTGTGCCTAACTAATTAAGCACTACACCATGAAGGCGTATGGGGGAGTAGATATATAGATCAATATAATCTTGATCTTGGCCCTTGTTGGAGGCAAATGGTCAGGTTCACGCCCCTGCCGCTTTACCCCAGGGGAAAGAGCCCCTGCTATCCATTGGATAAGAAGCTGGGTGGGCCCCAGAGCCAGTCTGGACGAGGTGAAGGACAGGAAATTCTTGACCCTCTCAGGATTTGAACTCTGACACCTGAGTCGTCCAGTCCGTAGTTAGTCGCTATACCGATTGTGCTATCCCGGCTCCTAAAACTTAATTTAGTTTTGACATTAAAATGGTTGTTGTCTTGGCTCTAGAAAGAGTACAGAAACAGCATCACATTAGGTTAACGATGTATTGCCGCAGCTTCGCATTTAGTTTAGTTTGAGGCACAGTGCTACAAACCGGAAGGTCGCAGGTTCGATTCCTGATGAGGTCAGTGGATATTTCAGTTCACGTAATCATTCCAGCTGCACTATTGCTCTGGGTTCGGCTCAGCCTCTAATAGAAGTAAGTACCAGATGCTCCTGGGGGCTAAAGGGCGGCCAGTGCATAAGGCTGCAACCTTCTGTGAGCCAACTGTGTAGAAGATGTGGGATCCTTGACATCTCACAACTCAGTGGGCCCCCACATTCTGTTACAAGGATAGCTTCTTTAGTTTAGTTTAGTTCAGTTCATTACGCCTAATGTAAACAAGTAGGTTGCCTAATTTGTCACACAAATCATATTAAATTAATGGTAACCGTATTAGCTCTGACACAAACCTTTCTAAGTTACTGCATTTTAAAGTTATGCAAGAATGCCTGATAAACATTTATTTCCTTTTTATTCCTGGTATCATGTGCTCAGATTCAGAAAGTTGTCACAATCTTATGACTGCTATCCATAAGTATATCTGAGACTGTTTGGCTATTCTGTGTCAGAACACATACAGACACTAAGTAAATAACTCTCCTGGGGCAGAGTCTTTATTGAGGAGAATCTAATAGTCGTTCAGCTCACCACAACACAATTCTGAAACAGATGAATCAAATATAAACACCCAACACCATATTTATTTGACATTTGTATATTATATGTTTGAAGGCCACGTTGTCTGGATGATTTCTTTCCCTCAGGTTTTGCAACTAAAATTATGTATGCATTTCTCATCTCTCCCATTCTTGGTCATCTTATTGTCCTTGATGTGATCACCCCAATAATATGTGGCAGTGAGTACAAATATGAGTATGAACTTTCTCATTATTCATATTTTTCCACCCTTCTATTACTACCCCTCCATTAGGTCCAGACATATCCATAACATCCTGTTCTTAATGCACGGAATCTATGTTCTCCCCATAAAGTTTCACACCAATTAATTGAATCATGGGGCTTATTTTATGCTCATTTCGAAGTTAATAAAATGGCTTTTCCAGTGATCTGTTACACCAACATATTCAGCACACGTATGTTCTTAGGGTCATCACATTTAACCTTTAACTTTGTATTACGCAAAATGTGGTATTTTAGTTTTTGAAACAAAGTTTTATGTGCATAACATCTGCAGATGTCAGGTGGGGCTGGGTTCTGTGAAGCATTTTGTTATGACAAGTCACTTCACTTGCATTGAGTAGGCAGCTTAAAGCAATATTTTGAAAAATTTACATTTATGAATTATGTTAATTAAGTTAACTATGTTATAAAAAGTATTTTTTTACAAACAGATGCAATGAAGATAATTACTGTGCACTATCCTGCAAGCCGGAAGGTCATGGCTTCAATTCCCGATGAGGTTATTGGATTTTTCAATTTACCTACTCCTTCCAGCTGCACAATGGCCATGGTGGTCAACTCAGTCTCTAACAGAAATGAGTACATGTAACTTCCTGGGGCTAAAGGGCAGCTGGCGCTTAAGGCTTGACAGCCTCACTGCCATCTGTGAGCCAGGTGTCTAGAAAATATGAGAACCTTGATGTCTCATAGCGCATTACAGGGATAGCTTTACCTTTTCATAGACTAGAATAAGAAAGTAAGTAAAGGTATCCCTGTAACAGGCTGTGGAGGCCCATAGGTTTGTGAGATGTTGAGGTTCTCACATTTTCTAGACAGTCTGCTCATAGATGGTGGCACGGTTGTCAGCTCTACATGCCGGCCGCCCATTAACCCCAAGAATATTCCTGGTACTTATTTCTGTTAGAGGCTGAGTTGACCCCAGGGCCATAATTCTGCTGGAAGGATTAGGTCAATTAAAAAATCCAGTGACCTCATCAGGACTTGAACCCGCGACCTTCCAGCTTGTAGCATAGCGCCTGAACCAACTACGCTACCGCATGCCCCTTAGACTAGAATAAGTAAGCAGTGGGAAGCAGTGTCTGCAGTATTGTCAGGTCTGAGCAAGCTTTATGTGTTATCTGACCTGAAAGCTGTAAAGATCAGTGTCCTTTGGACATTGGAGATATTGACATATTATACATGTTCTTTCCTGCTTCAGTATAAGATATATTTACTTTACTTTGTAAATTTTATTGATTGTGTGTGTTTACAATAATTATGCAACTCATGTCACTGGTGGCATGTGGTAGTTGAGGCACTATGCTACAAGCTGGAAGGTCGCGGGTTCAAGTCCCAATGAGGTCATTGGATTTTTTCAGTTGACGTAATCCTTCCAGCCGCACTATGGCCCTGGGTTCGACTCAGCCTCTAATAGAAATGAGTACCAGGAATATTCTTGGAATATTCTTGGTGGTAAAGGGTGGCGGGTGCGTAGGGCTGACAACCTTGTCGCCATCTGTGAGCCGATTGTCTAGAAAATGTGGGTACCTCAACATCTCACAACCCCATGTCCCTCCATGGCCTGTTACAGGGATACCTTTACTTTTTTTTACTCATGTCACCAGTGCTTTGTGTTGAAACCCATTTACCCCTTTAATGACACAGCATAATGTCAGGAGAAACTTAAGAAACATATTTACTTGGGCGACTGAAAAACTTTTTCAGTTAAATAGAAATCATAAAGTATGTGACAAGTGTCATAAGATGATATCAGAGCTAAAGTGTGTTGTGTCAAGTAAAGAAAAAGATGGTTTTGAGACTGAATAGTTTTCCAAGATCACTGCAATGAAATTCTTAAATGACAGGTTGCAATCAGTCAGTGAGTTACTAACTGATTATAAATGAAAGGCTAGGCAAGGGTAAGTACTTTGCAGGCAAAATGATAAGACTTGATAATGCTATGAAAATAAAAATCTGAACATTACACAAAATGCTGGTTGAATTGCAATTTTTCTATCACCTGACACAGATTCTAAATCAGAAGTTTAAATGAAGTTACTATTTAAGTTACAAAAAAAAGGTTTTGTTACTGTTGAAATGAGGCCGCGCCATAGCTCAAGCAGTTAGCCGCTGGCTTCCCACAGCATCGGCCTGGGTTTGATCCTGGGTCTGGTCAAGTGGGATTTGTGGTGGACAAAGTGGCGCTAGGGCCGGTTTTCTCCAAGTACTTCGGTTTCGCCTGCGAATCTTCTTTCCACAAAATTCTCCATCATCATAATCACCCAGGGCAGGTACAATAGGCCAATCAGTGGCTGCCATGCTGAGTGGACCCAGTAGGACTCCACCCCCCATTAAGCGAATTTAAACAAAATTTGTTACTCTTGAAATGAGCAGAGTAATGCTTGGTAAGAAAGATTGAAAAAGATCAAAGTCAGTGCTGTCAGGATACATGAACAGAAACAGATGTTGTGCAGTTGAAAGATTAAAACTCTCATTTTAAAAATTCACATCCAGGAGTCAAATTCTTTTTTGAAAGTTTGCATCCTTGCATCAAAGAAAATGCATTATGGCAGGTGCAAGTGGTACAGACAAGTGTGTCTGTATGTACAGTTCACAGGAGTGTGAAGTTCATGTTGGAAGCCTGTGAAATATCCAAACTGACAAGAAGCAATGAACATCATGTTTATCCATACCAACAATGTTTCTCAGCTATGATTTGAAACCCACATCATGCAAATTTTTTTGCTGTATTTAGAAAATACATTAGAAGATGTATTCACTGATAATGCAACTGAAAACCTGACTTTCAAAGAGTGGAACTTGATAGACAGGTGTGAAATAGTAACCATTTTAAAGTCAGCTGAAAAATTAATTCAATTATTGCTCGAAGAATTTTTATTTTTACTTCATCATTAATTGCGTCACAGAAATCTTTGTTCCTATGTAACCTATGGTCAGGTGAAGTTGTGGTTTTGTATGACTTTGATGAAAAGTATTCTATTGTTTTGAAGGATGAAGCGTAAGAGTTTCACTGGAACAATGCATAAGCCTCCATCCATCTGTTTGTGATTTATTGCAAGAAATCAAATGCTTTATATACAGAGCATGAGAATGCAATAAAGATAACACGTTTTTATGAGCATGATTTCATTTTGATACGTACCTTGCAACAACATCCAATGAAGTTTGTTTAAAACACGTTTGAATCACCACTGGAAAAAAATAGTTCACTTCTCTGACAGGTCTGCAGTCAATATAAGAAGAGATTCAGTTTACTAAATGTTACATGCCATAATGATGACTGCAGTCCAAGAAGAGTGGCACTTCTTTGTGACATCCAATGGGAAGAGTGCTTGTGATGGGGTTGGTGGCACTCTAAAAGAAGTTTGCAGTGACCTATAATGCACAATAATGACACATCATCAGTTGTATGAATGGGCTGAGTCCAGTACACATAACCTAAATTTTGATTGTGTAACAGAAAATGAATGCATAAAAGAAGAGAGTTTGTTATGAAGTCAGTTTGTGACAGCTAAAACTGTATGTGCAACTTGGCAGTTAATTACGTCCGAAGTGCACATGTTGGTACACTGAAAGGTACATTCATTGTGGCCAGGGTACGCATATTCTTGCATTCAGGCCTTTAAACGCTGCTAGTAGAAGCCCACACAGAATCATAAATAGTTATTTTTGAGTATAGTAAAATTCAATGTACACATATTTTCTTTTTATCTGCTCCCCCCCCCCCCCCCCCCGCTTTTTNTCGAAGCACCCAAGAACGCACAGTCCCTCGTCACATATACTGCACTTCAGCTGCCTTTCAGTTTCATCATCTTCCAAATGATGTTTCATTGGCACTGAAGGATGAAATGAAAATATGATATTTGAATTCACTATGAAGAAAACTGAATGCATATTGTATCTTGGCTACAGTGCAAGCATTTGGTTGTAACTATAGAAAGGACAACATTCTCTTGCAGCTGTAGTCAAATGGCTTGGCATTGTTGTACAAAACAAAGAATTTTCTCCCCATTCTCTCGTCAGTTTCTGTTCTTTCGCTTTTCTGTCCCACTAGTCAACATAGTTGAATATCTGAGGAGTGTAGCAAAAATGTGAACCTTATGAGCAGAAAAATAAAATATAGTTTTAGTTCTCCCAGCTGTGTTATAACACCAGAGACTGCTGAAGTATGTCAGTTGTTACAAGCAGCAATGATTTTATAATGCAGAAACACTTTGTGAAGAAGCAAGACACTCCTTTGTGCAGTATGCATCAAAATTACACAGATAAAAGAGTATAATTTTTTTTGCCTGATCATTATCAAATCTTATGTTATAATCTGTGACACTATATTCTATGCTGATGAAAACAAAGTTAATTCCATTCTTTTATCATTAAAATGTATAAGATACAGCATGTTTAATAAAATGCATAAAATTAGACCAACAGCAATGCCTTTTAACACCCAGCAGCAGGCATTTAAATAAACTGCTTCCTGGCAATTGAAGGTTAAGAAAGGTGTACTTAACATAGAAGTTTATTATTCTTCTCCTAACCGTACAGAGAATCTTGTGACTAGTGTGCTAAAAGGCATGGTTGAACTGAGAGACATCACAGATTTGTGACATGTCTGTATTTAATTTCTGGTGGATAGGGTGTGTACTGTCAGTGAGGAATCAAATGGCATGAATATAATTTTCCTTTATCCTCATGGACTTTCTGCGTCATTCTGTGGCTTCCTTAGTGAGAAATTCTAGTAAAAGCCCTGACACACACACACACAACAGCAGGATGTACATAGCTTAACCAGTGAAGGACCAAATTGACCGCAGAGAGAAGTAAAACATACATCTGTGAGTTCCACTACCAGAATGAAAGAAACTTAGCTGCTCACGTAAGTTATCCAGCGAAAATGTCTTTTGAGCCCAAAGCATCATCAGTTTTGTATTTGCAAGATTGTACTGACTTTTTTTTTTATATGAGTAGATTTCTTACAAGAAGGGATCTTACCAAATAAATTACAATATTTATCAAAATGTATATGCATCTAATTTATGTTAACATGAATTAATAATATCTGTAGAGACTATGAAGGAAATACATTGCTTTAAGTTGCCTCATTTGAGCAGATGAAATGACTTCACAGTAAAATGCTTCACAAGATTCAGTCCCATTGTATTTTCCAACTTGATATTTGAAGATGTTTTAAATAATAGTGACATGTACACAGTATATAGATGTATAATCAGGGCTTGAGGTGGGGCGGGATGCAGCGGGATGGCATCCCGGTTCTTTTCTAAATGGCTTAAAAGCATCCCGTTACTTCTTTGGCAGTAAATGCAATGTACAATACCCAAGGCTTGAGGTGTGGCGGGATGGCATCCCAGTTCTATTTTCATTCCACCTCAAGCACTGTATGTAATTACTCATAAAATATCTTATTTTGAGAGATGCAGTGACAAATGTCAAACCTGAAGACCTTGAAAACATAACTGTGCTGAATATATTGGTGTAACAGGTCACTGGAAAGGACATTTTATTAGCTTTTAAGTAAGCATGTAAGAAGCTCTGCATGTCAATTACGGCGGAAGTTATACTACTTCTTTCAAGGCAACTTGTGCCCAGAAAATGAGTTTCGTTTTACTGCTTTGGGTGTCTGCTCTCATAGTTCTAGAGGTTAATGAAACAATAAAATTTGGCAGGAATACTTGCATCCATTTGGACACAATCCCACAAAAAATAATTAAATTATGAATTTGGTTGTAAAATTTCAATGCTGAAGTAGGTAGTATTTTCAAACCAAGAATTTGGAATGAGAGGTTGATTGGCATTATTGATGATAATGGAATTAACCATAGTAAAATTCACCACCTCAAAAAATCTAATTGTCAATAGGACATTGTTCCCACATTGCAGCATTCATATGACGGAAGTCTGAAAAGCAGTGAGAATTATCACATTATTCACGTGTTAAATTATTTTTGTAGCGCCCCATCCTCTTTTGAAATGTGCAGTAGGCCATTTCTAGACATCTTGCATAGGGAGCAACAGGAGCTTGTTTTTCCTTCAGTGTCATTGCTCAAGCTCTGTCCTGGTTTCCATTTAAGCATTGAAAGTGCCCATGAATCATATGGGGTAAGGTTTGGACTACAGGCTGGGTGTTCTACAGCTATTCCACTGATGTCTGCTGGCGTCTTCATCATCATATGCAGCGTACCACCGTGCATTGTCTTGAAAAAAAAACCACCATTGTGTCAGTAATTGTGGTCTTTTCCAAATAGCATTCGTTAAATGAGGTTTAAGTGTATTTGCACTGTAAACACCATTCACAGTTTGCATGTAAGGTAGCTAGTGCTGTTCAGCTTAATCAGTATTCACATCTATGTCAGTGCCTGGTCTCCCATTTTGAGTATCATCATCCACCATTTTGTTTCTGTATTTAAAATGCTTTAATTGTCAAAACGCTGTAGCTCAGCTCATTGTTTCTGTTCCCTACACATTCTCTAAAATCTCTTAACCACTTTTTCCAAGCTTCACACAAAGTTGTGTCCTACATCCCTGCCTTAGAACATACATGCCATTACAAAACAGGTTTCTTACAAAAGCTTGTACAGACACGCTACGGAAAATGCCAACCTTTGCACTAGCAGCACTGTCTTGATCAAAGCCACTGAAGATGAGTGGTGTTGCTGGTCTCATTACTTTTCAAACTCCCCTCATAAATTCACTTGAACATCATCTTGCAGCAACACACAGTCCGATTGATTACATTTTGATATAGATGATATGAAAGCATATGTGGCATCTGATCTTGAACTCATTCTGATTGTAATATGGAAACATTATCTGAATAACGGAAGGAGTCTTTTATTATACCTTTTTACAAGAAGTGTGGTAAAACTGACTGTAGTAATTATTAAAACATATCATTGTTTTCAGCATCATATAGAAGTTTATCATATATTCTTCTGTCAAAGATGAGATTATGTGGGATCATCAGTATGGATTTCAACATGAAAGATCAACTGCTGATCAGATTTTTAGCATTCATCAGATACTGAGAAAAAATGGGGATACAGTAAGACAGTAGATCAGATGTTTGTAGATTTCAAGAAACACTGTGATTGAGTTAGGAGGGAAGTATTGTGCAGTTTTCTCATTAAGGTAAACATACACTTCTGTTTAAAATGTCCTGAAGGAAGGAAATGCCTGATTACCACTTCATTTGAAAGTTTCTGTAGAATATGGAGTTTAAATTCAGTGAGACACATCAGCTTCTTGTCTGTGCTGATGATGTTCATTTACTGGGGGATAACATAAATTCCAGAAAGAAACACAGGAACTCTGATAGATGCTAATAAGGAGGTTGGTCTGGATGTAAACACAGAGAAGAATTAAGTGTCTTTATCTCTTGTCACCAGAATGCATGCTTAAATCGTAATATAAAGATTAATAATAGATCCCATGAAAATGTGGCACAGTTAAAATATTTGGGAATGAACGTATGGAATCAAAATTTGATATGTGAGGAAATTAGGAGTAGATAAAAATTAAGGGGGACATTTGCTACCTTTGAGTTCAGAACCTTGTGGCTTCCTGTCTGCTGTCAAAGATGATGTAGATTAATATATGCAGAACTAATTTTGCCTGTAGTTTTGTATGGATGTGAAACTAGGTCTCTGTCGTTAATGAAAAGATATAGACTGGTGGTGTTCAAGAACAGGTTGCTGAGGAGAATATTTGGACCTCAAAGGGATGAAATGGAAGGAGGCAGGAGAAAATTGCATAATGAGGAGCTTCATAACTTATGCTCCTGACCACATATTCTCAAAATGATAAAGTCGAGGAGGGTGAGCTGAGTGGGAGATGTAGCATGCATGGGAGAGGAGAGCAAACGGGGTTTTGGAAAGAAAACCTGAAGGAAAGACACGACGGAAAGCCTAGACATAGATGGGAGACTATATTAAAACGGATCATAGAGAAATAGGTTAAGTTGTTAGAACTGGATTTATTTTGTCCTGGATACAGACCAGTGGCAGGCTCCTGTGAACATGGTAATATACCTTTGGCTTCCATAAATTGCTTGGAATTTCTTGAATGGCTGAGCAGCTGTTATCTTCTCAAGAAGGACTGAGGCCCATGGAATTAGTTCTGCTGTCGAACCTACTGTTCGATTTTGCATGGTGGTATTTACTTATAGTTAGAATTACTATGTGAAATGTTCCTGTGGATAGATGTTGGAGATGGACCGCCAAGTACCTCACCTAGCAGTAGTGTTGACAGTGCCAATTTGGAAGGAGAAGCCCTTCCAATTGAATTTGACACTGCTCTGCCAGTTGAACATAATGTGAGTATACTTGTAGCATCAGACAAGTTGAAATGTACGGAAAAATGTGTTACATGGTTAATCATATATTCTATGAAGATTATTAGCCTGTTTTAAACACACAAATATGAAGCTGTATATTTTACATGTGTAAGTTGTAAACACTGTCTTGTTTGTGTTCCTTCTTTGTATCTGTATATTCAGGGTGTTTGAGAGTGGACTACTGGCTAGAATATTCAGCCCTGACAGAGAGAGAAACAGGAGTCTGAAGAAAACTTGATAGTGTGAAGCTTAATAATTTGTATTCTTCAGTATGCACCTCACTTGATCAAAGTTACTAAAAATTGGACTTATTTGATTCATTTAGTATTTGGGTGAAAACCTGGAAGAGCTGAGAGGACGCACAGTTCTTGATGATGGTTCCTTCCAACTTCTCCCTTTGCTGCCACAACCTGGTGTTGTTTTAGTCCCCGGACAGACTCTTCCACTTATGGTGTTTTATCCTCCAACAGTCAGTATGCTTCGCAAAATAATCTCGACAAACGGAACATTCGGAGTAATTTGCGTGAGGTAGGAAAGTAAGAATTTGTTGATGTTCTTTTCTGTTTTATTTACTTAAATTTTTAAACAGTAGAAATTATGTAGCAACAAATTAGAAATGTTGTGAATTGACTCATAAATTTTATACAAGTGATTATATTCTTGTTAATGTTCCTTTTTGGAATTTACATAAAAGGAATGGGGATATCATGGAAGCTGGATTAGCTCTGGATATCCAGTGAGGTTTTGGTTTTTGTACCTTTTAGATATGTAACAGAAGTATTGAAACTATTTGTAAAAGTGTAGAAATAAATAACTGTTCACTTGTATATCACTGACATGGAGTTGATGTAGAAGCTTGTGATTTATGTTAACAGTAGTTTTACGTCAACATTTTGTACTTTCTCATTTGCTATACATTGACATCTTTCTCAAGGAAGTGAAATGTTCTTATCAAAAAAGTTGTGTGCGGGTGTATAAAAACAACTTTGCACAACTGTGGTTATGGTTTTGTGTTCATTTAAGGTACTTCGAGGCATCTAACCCAAAAATGGCGAACGTTGGAACAACGGCAGAGATCTACGAATATCGAGATGAAGAGGATCTTGCTGGGTTTCGTATCAAAGCCAAAGGACGCCAGAGATTCCGTGTCATGGAGTCACAGCGACAAGTTGATGGGTAAGATGACATGTTAATGTTTGCTGTATGAGCCCAGGCAATATTACACCAAGAGTGCCCTGGTGCATTTGCAACTTAGACCTTAATTTAAAATTTAACATTTTAGCAACTAGAAATAAAATGTTTTGAAAATGCATAGATAAGTATTTAATCAGTGCAAAGGTAAATGACTAAATTTCTTAAATATTTCGCAGTGAAATTGTTGAAATTATGGATATAATTTGACAGTGAGTTATGCAGTATTATTGGAACCATTGATCAAAACATTTTATAAAAACAATTGGGACTTATGGGACATTTTGTATAAAACACTGAAAATGTGCATTTCCCCATGAATGTATAGGTAACACATGTATACTGAATTAAGTGTTTAAAGATCTTCAAGGATAGGATTATGTTAGTTTTCAGTCTGGTTTTCCTCAATGGCTACATAGTTTCTCATGTATCTCTTACAGAAACGTAACCGCTACAGTGAAGATATTGCCTGAAGTTATCCTTCCTGACTCACTGCATGGTGTTCGAGACAGATCTTTGGATCGCTATAGGAGTGAACAAGTTAATTTATCAAGATCAGTTTCAACAGCTAATGGAATCCGTTTACGAAGACAACAGGCCATTTCACGAAGAGATTCAATGATGACTGTGTGGCCTCACTGGGTGCACAACCAATATAATGCCACCACACTTTCCTGCCGAGTCAAAGTACATCTGTCTTATCTGAAACTTGGTATGTTCTCATTTCTCATAGGCTCTTTAAGAATTTTCAGGACCAGGGACAAGGGCGTTTCACCATGGTTTTTACTTCATTAACAGTTCAGCCTGTTCTTATATAATTTCAGGCAGTACTGCGGCAAGGCTACAGTTGCCAGAGGATCCTACTGAATTATCGTACTGGGTGGCTCAGGCAATGCCTTTGCTTGATGAGCAAAGACTATCCTTGCTCCAGATAAACTCCCCAATTCAGCGCCTCCGTTGGGAACTTTGTGTTTTGGAGAAGGTATGAGAAAAGTTAACTGTGATACAATTGACAATATAACAGGGAGTTCCACACAGAACTCACAGAACCTACTTTCCTGTTGCACAAATATCTTGTGCTGAACACCTACTAAGCCCTGTATGGTTATAATTTTAGTACTCATATATTAAGGCTCCTTGTAAAGGTATATGCTCACCCTCACCGCCCTGTCCTAATTTTAGAAGTGGCATATCTGTCCATGCTGATCATGATATGGTTCTTCCTTTTCCAGGGTTACTCTCTTAGATTAAGGCCCCATAAATCTTATTAACTCCTGCCTCATCACCAAGGATCTTAACTGTGTTCCTGATGCTCTTTCATGTCTTCAAGCTCTCCCGATAGTTGGTTTGGCATGTAGATGGTGATACCCAAAGTAGCAATCACTTGCCTCTTTTCCTTAATCCTCCTGCAGTGAATATGGAGGAATCTCAGCACATTATTTGTTTTGTGATAAGGGCCAGTTGGACACTGTACTATGGGCTTTCTCTTCCAAGATGTACCTTTCTAGAAAACGCAGCAGGATACTTCCTGTTCTGTCCTGGGTCTACAAGTGACATGCAGCTTGCTTGTCGCTAAGAAATGCCAGATGTCGTTCTTGGCATCTGCTGGTGCTGGGGTCACTTGTGTTTCATCTTTTGTTAAATGGTAATACAGTTCGTTTACTTGTAGTACATTATAATTAAGAATGTAAATGAACAACATTGCTGAGGTTCCTGCATGGTGCGGTTGCAGGACACATGCCACTGTAGCTCTCAAAGTCTGTGACAAATTGTCATATCTGTACCTACTTGGATACCACAAGACATATGCAAGGGAATAGCATGTCACAAGGATCGGTCCTGAGTGTCACGATTTCACTGTTGCTATCAGTGACATAACAGATGTGGTCAGTCAACACGTACACTCTTCTTTTTACACCGCTGACTTTGGCATATATTTATGGTGTACAAGTTTTCCAGAAATTGAGTGGCATTCACAACTGGCTATCAGTCACCTCTCAGAATGGGGAAGACGAATAGCTTTAAAATATCTGCAGAAAAAACTGCCTGAGTGCACTTCTCCTGATTAAAAGGTCATCTACCCCACCCTAGTCTACAAGTCAACAGCAGGCTTTTGTCAGTTGTCAACATTCTTGGGTTTACCTGGGCAGTAAGCTGACATGGGAGTCTCTTCTGAGACAACTCCACTTTACATACAAGTCCCTAATATTCTGTGCATTTTATCAGATGTTCAGTAGGGTTCAGGCAGGACGTTATGCTCTGTCTCAGTAAGGCATTTGTATGCTCCCACCTCAAATATGATGACTTCATTTATGGCTTAATTTTACACATGTCTTATTGATCATTAACCTGATTTACGCACTGGTATTGGATCAGCAGCTGGTGATATTCACCCGTCCCTAGGCTGAGGTACACTGTAAGTGTGAAGTTGAAATCCTGCTGGTATAATTGGTCTGTTTTGGATCTTTTGCAGTAGCGCGCTGACTCAACATCTTAGTAATGTTAGGTAAGTTGTGTTGCCTAGTGGTGTGCTCCCTAATTATCCCCCATTTTTGCCACATCATTGTGCTGTGATCAGCCGTTCCTCTACAGCTATTTCTTCACTCATGTGTAGAGTGTGTCGTGTGATATTTGACATGGCTGATATTCAGGAGCAGCGTATCAACATTAAATTTTGCTTCAGACTAGGAAAAACGTTTATGGAGACTCATGAAATGATGAAAAACGTTTATGGTGATTATTACATGAGCTGTACATGTTGTTATGAATGGTTTAAATGATTTAAGGACTGTTGGCAGTCAGCACATGATGAGCTGTATTTGGGACGGCCCTCAACGACACGAGATGATGCTCATGTTCTGCAAGTTTGTCAAATTGTGCATTCTGATCATCATTTGACAGTGCAGAAAATAGCAGAAGAGTACAACATATCAATAGGATCATATCATGACATTCTTATGACAAAATTAGAAATGCATCGGTTAGTTTCAAAGTTTGTCCCACAGCCTCTGACACAGGACCAGAGAGACAGTCATGTTGCCATCTGTCAGGAACTTTTGGGTTGCCCTAGTGAGGATGAAAACTTTCTGAAAAGAATTATAACTGGCGATGAAACATGGGTTTATGGATACCTTGTGGAAACAAAAATGCAGCAGGTTGAAAAAAATTCGCCAATACTGAAAAAGGCACAGCGGGTCAGGTCAAACGTGAAAGTCATGTTGATGGTTTTTTTAACATTGAGGATGTTGTGCATCATGAATTCTTATGTCAGGGACAAACGATGAATCACTGGTGTTATGTGGAACTGCCGAAACGTCCAAGAGAGAATGTGAGGAGAAAAAACCACAGTTTTGGAGAAACAACTCCAGATTCCTCCATCATGACATTGCTCTAGGCCATGTATTGCTGCTGATTCGTGACTTTTCGGCCAACATGGACACAACTGTGCTTCCTCAGTCACCCAACTCACCTGAACTGGCTCCAGCAAGCCTTTTCTTATTTCCCAAACTGAAATCCACTTTGAAAGGATGACGATTTCAGACGATTCAAGAGATTATGGAAAATTCACAGATGAAGCTCCATGTGATCAATGGAAAAAGGTATACCAAGACTGTTTCCAGAAGTGGCAACAGCGTTGGGTGTGGTGCATCAATGCAGGAAGTGAGTAATTTGAAGGTGATATGGCTCCCTCAATTGCAGGAATGTCTGAAAAACATATACAAAGTCATGGAAGCCTCTCATCTGTTCCCTCAAGTAACCTCCGAAATACGGCAGACCCTATAGGCCACTCAGGTCCATCGCAGCCCCCGAGCTACAGGGTTAATGCCCACCATTTAACCTTCCCTTCTCTTCCCCTAACATATACTCTATACCAGCTCTGGCCCACTACCTGCTGGCCATTCCACCAGACCCTTCCCCTCCCCCTCTCTGCTATTTCCCTATGTAGCCACACTCCTTCTCTCCTTCTCTTATACAGCTGTGTTTACTCGACTGGCCTCAGTCTGTTGCACCTGCTCTGCTGGTTCGCTTGTGGATTTCTTCTTGTGTTCTGCCCTGGAGATGGAGACGATACGTTCCTCCGAAACGTCGGTTAACACAATCTCTAAATGGCGCCACATCCCAGAAGTCGGCTTTCTTCATATACAAAGATAGTTCCAGAACATTTTTGAACAGACCACGTATATATAGCAGACCTTCTAAGATACTTCAATATTGCATTCCTGAAAATGATCCAAATTAAACACCTGGATCCATACCACCATGGGCTCTGAAACACCCCAATTTAGACACTAGACTTTCTCACAGCACCACCGCCACCACCACAATTGGTACTACTGTTACCCAGTATAGTGACTAGGCTATGGGCTCAATGACCAAGAAATTTAGGTTTGATTCCCAGCAAGGACAGGAGATTTTCCCTTCTCCACAGTATCCAGACCGGCTCTGGGCCCCACTTAGCCTCCTGTCCAGTAGGTACAGGTGGCTCTTTTGCCCAAGGCTAGAGCTTCAGGATCATCAAGCAGCTAATCACTTTGATCTAATGTTGAAGTTAAGAATCCTTGGAGTTTTATGTTCACTGTCTCATATGTCATTGTACTGGTGCTTAAGCAAGCACAGGGACAACATAATTTATACCTTTTATACACACGTTTTGCATGCATAATGTATAGTGGTATATTAGTTTTTATAGTCAGATCAAAAGGTAAACCTCAGATTGCGTTAAGGTGAGGAATATCTTAACTAGCTGAGTATCACCTTTGCAAGGATTATGCTCCAAGAAGTAACCAGTTTGAGATTAAGGAATCTCACCATGGATTTCTAAATGTAGTGCATGGATGATGGATCTCCAAGGTTTATGCAGACCTCATCTTCATAAAGAATCTATCGTCTCTTATATTGTCAGTTTTGATTTGTAATTACCGATCAGATTGACCAAGCAGCAGCGCTCCGGATTTCTATTTCAGAGTGCTCGGTTCAAACCTCAGCCAGCCCACCAGCTATACTGATTGATAGATTTCCTCAGTCCCTCCATGCCAGTAGCAGGATGGTACCTTGATTAGCCCACTGCCACTTCTTTCCAACACCTTTTCAATTCATGTATCATTCCACCATTTCATACTCGGTAATATAGCTACTGACAGTATTATTATAAAAGAAATGAAAATTATGTAATTTGTAACTATATGTTTGATCCCTTATCTTTTAATATCCCATGCCCTTTCTTTGGTAGTGCCAGATGCTGTGTTGCCGCGATTGTGATGCTGAAGTGGCAGATCCTCGAGAGACATTTTCAATGTCAGTTGAAGGTCCCCAGGGGACATACGTGAATCCTGGAGGATTTGTACATGAGACTTTAACACTTCACAAGGCAGAAGGACTTCGATGCCTTAATGAAGACCCATCTACAGAATACTCCTGGTTTCCAGGGTGGGAAATAACATTTGAAATAACTTCTTTTTATATATTATTCCCCAGAATAATAGAATAAATTGTATTGAAGATCTGTGTACTTACTTACTCAGGAAAGACTGCCAGTTTTGGTTCATAAGTGTGCTTCTAAATCTGTGATTCACTAAATAATTTAGGCATCTGACTGACATATTTGTAAATAACTTGTAATACTGTTGTGCATAAGTTACCATCCATACTTCTTACGTTACAGTAAGACTTCTGTATTTGATATCAGGTACTTCAAACGAAATAACTTTCTGTCCCAATCTCAGACGATATGTCTGTATGCTATTTAATTCAAATAATTAAAAATTTGATTAGTTTATAATTTAAAGCACCGAGTAAATCCCAAAAGGCATAGACATTCGAATAATTGCAATTATAAATGTGCAGTAAACAATTTACGTTTTTTCTGGTTAATTTTAGCACTCCTACAACTTGTACAAATACACAGAAAGTGTTAATCTGGGATGAACTCATGGGATAAGTGAATAGTGGCCCTGAGAAATGTTTGGAAAAGCTTACCGAACAAGTCCATGGAACCACTCAAAAAGAGAAGTTAGTTTGGTTGCATGTTTATGAAAAAGAACAAAATTGTGCTCTCTGTGTTGTTTTCTTTTTGTGGTGGCTATTAGTCACATGTATGACGCAGGGACAGCATGGGTGGTTACAGCACTATTAGGGAATATGAAAAGAGTGAGCAAATAATGAGTTAACAGAATGGAAGATACTGAGACAAAAGCTACATTTCTTCCATATTTACAATTTGAAAGTGATGCAGGAGAGGGTAGGTAAAATGTAGTGACAAACCATTACCCTCCCCAGGCCCTTTTGACTGCTACTTGGGATGATCTGCTATTAAGGAGTACAATTCCATAAGTAATTCAGTGGCGTTGTTGTAAAGGAACCAAATGGATATATAGTCATCTGGCCCCATGTGAGATCCAGTAGCAGCCTCTAAACGTACATGGAAATCAAATTTGGGTACTATGGAAGGCATACTGTTCTCTGAGTAGCTAGCTGAGTGGTTGTGACCTGCCGAAGAACTTTAATACATAGAGTTATCACTACAAAGAATGGAATGATTTTTTTTTCATGCATCCTGTTGTGTTATAATATACAATTTCCTTATTAAAACCGTCAGAACACAACTACGCACTGACCTTAATATAGTTGTGTTGTGACGGTTTTAATAAAGAAAATGGAATAACTGTTAATGCTTTGTCATAATCACAGGGTATGTGTAATGTGTTCTAGGTATGCATGGACAATCGCTGAGTGCCGTTACTGTCACAAGCATATGGGATGGAAGTTCACAGCCATCCACAGGCTAATGAAACCTCAAAAGTTCTGGGGTGTGTGTCGAAGATCAATTGTGACAAAACTTGTTACAGAAGAGGATTTGGAACCTGTGCTCTGAAGCACAAGTGTTTTATGCTGAATTGATTCAGGTATATGTACAGTTTGTATGAAATTTAATGTAACTTCTTCCTCATACATTTTGAGGATGTGCACTTCTTTTTCCTCTATTTGATTTTATAGAATAAATTACATTTTATTTTATAATTTTGGGTGTTTTATTGCATTTGTAGTGTAATTTTCTTATGCTTGATTTTCTCTCTCTGTTCATGTGCATGTCAGTACGTGGAATGTTCAAAATATATATAGGCCAGGGTTGCTCAGGGCAGTGGCGGAAGGAATCTTAAAATATAAGTTAGATTTATCGGGGGTACAGGTCAGATGGGACGGAGGGGGCATCACACCAGCAGGCAAATATACATCTTTCAATGGAAAGGGGAATGATAATCATGAATTAGGTACAGGTTTTTACGTACATAAGAGAATCGTATCAGCAGTTAAGAGGGTAGAGTTCATTAGTGATAGGATATCATATAAAATACTAAAAGGTCACTGGTGTGATATCATTGTTATGAATGTTCACGCCCCAACAGAAGATAAAATTGATGACATAAAGGACAGGTTTTATGAAGAACTAGAACAGGTATTTGATTAATTCTGGAAGTACCCCATGAAAATTTTGCTAGGAGATTTGAATGCCGAAGTAGGGAGGGAAGACATTTTCAAACCAATGATTGGAAATGAGATGAGAGTTTGCATGAAATTAGTAATGATAATGGAGTTAGAGTAGTAAACTTTACCACATCAAAAAATCTCACTGATAAATTTACTTGAACATCTGATGGGAAGATACACAATCAAATCGACCATATTTTGATAGGTAGGAGATGGCATTCAAGTATACTTGATGTCCGAACATTCAGGGCAGCAGATTGTGTTACTGGCCACTACCTGGTGGTGGCAAAGGTTAGAGAAAGACTAGCAGTGAGCAAACAAACAACACACAGAGTTCATATGGAGAGGTTCAATCTCAAGAAATTAAATGAAGTAGAGGGTAAAGAGCAGTATCGTGTTGAAATCTCAAATAGGTTCGCAGCCTAGCAAAACTTGGACACTGAGGTGGATGTTAATAAAACTTGGGGAACTATTAGAGAGAATATCAAAATTTCTGCCAAGGAGTCTAGGTTATTAGAACTGAAGAAGCATAAGCCATGCTTTGATGAAGGATGCTCAAAATTATTAGATCAAAGAAAGCAAGCCAGATTGCAAGGTTACAGGATCCAAGCGAGGTAAATGGAGATAATCTGAACAATGTAAGACCTGAAACCAGCAGGCATTTTGGGAACAAAAAGAGGGAATATCTGAAAGATAAAATTGATGAGCTTGCAATGAGCAGTAAGAACAAGAACATTAGAGACTTGTATAGAGGAATAAATTACTTTAAGAGGTGTTACCAATCTAGCAGTAACTTAGTGAAGGATGAGAATGGTGATCTGCTTGCAGATTCCCACAACATTTTGAATAGGTGGAAGAACTTCTTCTTTCAGTTATTGAATGTACATAGGACCACTGATGTTAGGCAGACAAATCCATACAGCTGAGCAGTTAGTACCTGATCCTATCCCTTCTGAGGTTGAAAGTGCTATTGCAAAATTGAAACGGTATAAATTGCCAGGTAGTGATAAATTCCAGCAGAACTTGTTCAAGCAGGAGGCAAAATATGACGTTCTAAGATCCATAAGCTAATTGCTTCTATTTGGGATAAGGAAAAATTGCCTGATCAGTGGAAGGAATCTATTATTGTACCAGTTCACAAGAAGGATGATAAAACTGACTGTAGTAATTATTGGGGGATATCACTGCTATGAACTTCATACAGAATTTTATCCAATATTCTTCTTTCAAGGTTAAGTCCGTACATAGATGAAATTATTTGGGATCATCAGTATGGGTTTCGACATAACAGACCAACTACAGATCAGATCTTTTGCATTCGTCAGATATTGGAGAAAAAGTAGGAGTACGATGAGACAGTACATCAGCTGTTTATAGACTTGAAGAAAGCATATGATTCAGTTAAGAGGGAAGTATTGTGCAGTATTCTGATAGAGTTTGGGATACCCATGAAACTAGTTAATCTGATTAAAATGTGTTTAAACGAAACATATAGTAAAGTCCGTGTAGGTAAACATTTGTCTTATAAATTTCCTATCCAGAATGGTCTAAAACAAGGAGATGCTTTATTGCCACTCCTTTTCAACTTTGCTTTAGAATATGCCATTAGGAAGGTCCAGGGAAACCAGGTGGGACTGAAATTAAACGGGACACATCAGCTGTTGGTATATGCTGATGATGTGAATCTACTGGGGAAAGATGATAACAGATCGAAACCTGATTCAGGAGGAAATTAAGAGGCAATTGAACTCGGGTAATGCTTGCTACCATTCAGTCCAGAACCTTTTGTCGTCTCATCTACTGTCCAAGAACAAAAAAATTAGAATATGCAAGACTATAATTTTGCCTGTGGTTCTTTATAGGTGTGAAACTTGGTCTCTAACAATAAGGGAGGAACATAGACTGAGGGTGTTTGAGAACAGGGTGCTGAGGAGAATATTTGGACTGAAAAGAGATTAAGTGACGGAAGGTTGGAGAAAACTGCATAATGAGGAGCTTCATAGCTTGTACTCTTCTCCAAGTATAATTAGAATGATTAAATCAAAGAGAATGAGATTGGTAGGGCACGTAGCACGAAGGAGGGCGAAGAGGAATGTATATAGGATATTGGTGGGAAAGCCAGAAGGAAAGAGACCACTGGGAAGACCAAGGCATAGGTGGGTGGACAATATTAAAATGGATCTTAGAGAGATAGGATGGGATGGTATGGATTGGATTGATCTGGCTCAGGATAGGGACCAGTGGAGGGCTCTTGTGAACATAGTAATGAACCTTCGGGTTCCATAAAATGCTGGGAAATTCTTGAGTAGCTGCAGATTTGGTTTCTCCTCAAGAAGGGCTCAGCTCCACAAGTAAGTATTCATGTGCATGTCATCTGTTGTTTGACTGGTGTCTTTATAACATTTTTTTTTATAATATGGGGTACAGTCTTCACCTATAAGCTGGTTGATGCAGCAGGAACACATCTGATTTATATGCAGGTTCTAATGATTGACTGTTCAGACAGAAGCTTTGTGTGGTTTCATCCTTCCTTCAGCCACAACATTTCCTTGAAATAGACCATGACAGTCAGTAAAACTTGGAAACCAAAGCTACTTCAGAATAGTGATGTCTTCTGGGACTTAATGCTGTGTAGTCTTGTAGAACACCAACATTTCAAATGAATGTACTGCTGCCATCTTCAGGGGCAAATAGTAGGTGAAGGAAGAAACTGGCAAGAAACAGCCAGCATGTAAAGTGAGCTATATGTAGAAAGCCAGGAGGGAACGTACTAAGTATAGGTCTATTCCTATAGGCTGTCTGTGCTGGATAGAGTGAACTAGTGGGAGGTAATAAAAACTAGTTCATGGCCCTGAAAATGGGTATATTGTTTGGAGAACAGGGAGCAAGACAGAATAAGAAGGGAAGAAGAGATGTCATGTAATAGGGTTGCAAGCAGCAGGGAATAAGAAGAACAAGATGCAGCAGAAGAGAAACCAAGAAGGAAGAAGTCTTGTGGGAGAGCAGTAAGGAAATGTTAAGGTTGATAGGTGCCTTGATGAGGGCAGTGTGCCTGTGGAGAACTGCATCTTGAAAACACTGTGATGGAAGCTGCCTGTATTCTCTTAAGAAGTAATAAAGACAGAAGCCACTCTCCCTCTTCATATTACAGGGATGGAGCTGAATCTCAGTTGCCTCTCTGATGTCCATGCACCTGTATATGATGGAGATGACCCAGTCAGTAAGCTTGATATCACAACCTGGGTTCTCTGATCGGGCACTTGGATATGCTTGGTGAAATTGAGTTTTATTTGTGTTTAGCAAAAGATTTATGTATTTCAGTTCAATAAATCAAATAAGATATAACCTTTTTTCTTCTTAGCAGATTATAATGCTGCACAGAATCATGAAAACAAATTGCACATTAATACTTAATTTTTTCTCTGTTTGTTACTATAGAGGGAATCAATACAAGTGGTTGTGAGACGAAATGTTGCTGGAGAGGATCCTCAAATAAGACTGTGACATGTAAATAAGCATTCATTACCTTTATTAAATGATCTGTACCTGGTTAAAGTAGAGATTAAACTGAAATTTTCTTTGATGTGTATTTAAATGTTTTCTACTTTGATTACTGTTCTAGTCCTCAGGTTTCTCACAGCTGGAGGTTAATATATGACTTCTGCTTTCGAGACAAGGCTGCATCGAATGTTGAGCATTTTCCAGTGTTTTGGCAAACCCTGAAATTGTTATCTTCAGGGTTAATAATTTTGGAAGGTTTTGGTAGCGCTCATATAGCACTTGCATTTGGCATTGTGTCAGAAGAGAAGTCATGGTTGGATAGGCAGGGGAACAGGATGCTAACCAATAGGGATAATCCATATGGTAAGTGAAAGAGAAATTTTCCACTGACCACATGGTTAATGAAAAGAAATTATGTTCAGTGTTCTGGCAACCAGGTAGTTGTGGGACACAATGGGAAAAACACTTCAGCAACCATGTTTAGGACACAAGGTGATGGACGATTCTTTCCTTCGTTCCTTCCCTCTCCCTCCCTTTCATCAAATCCACTACAGAACCATCTTCATCCAGCAGTTGCTGAAGTCCCCTCCTGTCTGCATGGGGAGAAGGAAGAAAATGTATCTTTGTTTGAAGTATGATCATATTGAGGATGGTGAGTTGTACAAGGCATGCAATGTGCATGGAAGATACAAGAAATGGAACCCAGATTTAGCCTGAAAATCTGAAGGCTACCACTTGAGAAACCTAGGCATGGATGGGAGGGTATAATTGAGGGGTTGTGTGGTGCTGAGCTGGAGTCTATAAAAGGCACCAGCTGAGTGACTGTAACTTCTCAAGAATGATTTTACTCTATGGAGTTTGTTTATAATGCACTGCACTGAGTCAAAAGTAAATTTGCAGAAAAATTAAGAGCAAATTAAATTTGGGAAGTGCTTGCTATGTTTCTCGGAATGTTCTATATGCATGTGAAAGTTGGTTTCTTATTGCTAAAGGAATCATCCATGGGTGATCTGGCTTAATTTCATTTCATGTATGTTACATATTTATTGTTAAACTTTGAAGCAGTGTTTCCCGTGGGTTTAGAATACTTTGCACCACAGGAGAGATTTCATATAAACAGCAAGGGAAAATCATCTTTGGGGCCTCATATCCTCTTTTAAAGGGTAAAATATGCACAACTCAATTGAAGTACTTGTTCAAAAAAATATTTTAAATTTTAAGGACATTTAACATAAGGGAAAAATGAGAAATGCAAAAGAACATCAGTAAAGAGTAGCACAGTATTACACTGTAAAACATCACCATTAAAGCGTATTATATTGACAATATTATGAGAAAAAAGTGTATTATAAAGAACACTACTAAAGCACAGGGACAACATTACACTACAATCTACAGGCAGTCAAAAGTAAAAAAAAAGTCGACAGGTTTGGAATAGAATAAAATCTTTGTTTTGACACAAGTTTCGGAGAATTAATGCCTTTTAGCACGTCATGACATTCGTATACAAGTATATCTGGCTATTCCAGACTTCTCACCATGGCGGAAAGGAGAACATTTACTTTTTTAAAGCTTTTCCGGAGTAAACATTTGCCTTCTAGAGATACATCACAAAATGACCACCGGTTAAACAGGCTTTTGTTGTGACATGTCGGTAAATATGAGGTAGTAATTGAAGTATGTAGTGGTATGAGATACTGTTATATTTTCGTGTTTTCTATGTAACGCGTTCTGTTTGTGTTAAAGCGTTTTGCTAGTTGTGCTATGAAGAGTTCTATCTTCTAGGATGTAACATGTCAGCGGAACATGTCTCCTCCATCATTAAGGTCGAGAAATAAGCCAACCAAGATTCCAACGTGAAAGCAGGCGACAAGTAGAGCGAACTATTTCTGTTGCAAGCGCCTTCTGTGGATGATTAGTGTAATTATTCAAGTGCGTCTGTAGGAGCCCGCCACGGTGTTTCAGCAATCTGGGCGATCCGTGGCTCGGGAAAGTGAAGCCGTGGGTGGACCTTTTCGTAGCGTAGTGTTTAATATGGCAGTTGAGCCGAAGAGGCCGATTATTATGTTTGGTGCGGAAGAGAATATTTGTTTTGAGAGATTTGTGCAGCGTTATATTTAGTGAGGTATTGTACGTAGTATTTATGTTTTCCAGTGTATTTTTTTTATTTCTAAATCTTATTTGAACATTGTTTCATGGCGGTGAAAATTCACAGTCTTTGTGATATTTTTGTATTTATAAGCTAACGTGTTTTCTGTAGTAAATGGTCTGTTGATTCCCAGTTGTGGTAGTGCCAAATGTTTTTTGTGTTTGGGCATATTTGAAAGTCATCGATTTCTAGCGCGTACCACGTAAATGTATGTATGCAACATGAAAGGAGTCTGTATAGCGACGGGCTACGGGTTGGATGGCCTGGCTTCGATTCCCTGCAGTTCAAGGTTTTTCTTTTCTCCACAGCGTCCAGACCGGCTCTGGGGCCAATCTAGCCTCTTATCCAATGGGTACCGGGAGGTCTTTCCCGGGGTTAGAGCGGCAGGGGCGTGAAGCTGACCACACACCTCCATCTGGTGCTGAGGTCAAAAATGGTGAAGCTATACCTTCACTCCCTTATGTCTTCATGGCATAGTGGTTAATTAATTAATTAGAGGAACAACTTTACATTCTGTGCTTCATGAAATATGCATTTGGACGTGAACTTACATAAACAGCTGAATAAAGACAGAAAACTCTTGCAATGGACAATCAGTATATCAAAATTGGACTATTCAACTTGAGTTATGTTGTCACATGTAGTGTGGTACACCTGACGAAAACAACAGGTTCTAGTTTGGATAATTGGGTTTTTTTTAACACCTTGGCTACATGTTCACTTTATCATACTCAGTTATAACACTATCACTATTCTTCACACTTTGAGTTCACCATTGCACATGCACTAAGATTGTCCATCTTCACTGGTTGTTTGCTGGCAGTGGATCTCAACACAGAAACTAGCACCTCAACTCACTATGAAGTCTTCTTGATATTTCATCTTCAATCACTCTGTAACCTCAGAACTAAATATTCTTCTAGACTCACTCCTCCAACTCAAGACTGACCTGTAACTGTCCTTGAACTAATTCTTTCACTCCCTTGGTTATTCTGGGAATCTTGTTATATAACTGTGGCATGGAGCACACAGAAGACAGTTCTATTGTAAGAATCAATGTGTAACCTAGCAACTGGTCACAGAGAACCCTATTCCTACTGTTGCTCAGTGCAGATGACATAGAAAACACAGCCTCATCTGTTGTTCCGTAACCTAGCAACTGACTGTTTACAAAGTATCAATCTTCGCAGGAACTTGTCTACCAACATATTTCCTAGCAACATGTAGATTGTAACATGGATTACCATTGCTAGGCAATGACTCGATAAAATAGTTGCCACAAAGACAGATTCTTGGTAAACAGTCTTTTGCTAGATTATGCAACTATTCTGACAACAGAAGACATGCTTGCAGTGTGGTCTGCACCATGCCAGTGCTAGACAACAGAACTAAACACATCTACAATAAATATGATGAGTGATGTTTTACACCATGAAATAACACTGCCCCTTCAGATCTGTTATCCATTCTTCTGTTTTTTAATATTGTTTAGGGAGAAATTCAATGACCTTTGAGGTAGTATGATAACTATGGATTTGTTTCTTGTGCTTGACAGGTTTGATTTCTGCTTTTAAATCATAACATTGTTTGCTACAGACATGAATGGTCTGCATATAATTCATTGTTTCATTTTCATATCTCCCAGTTTTAAAGCAAAGGAAGTTTGCTTGAAGTTCACTATTAAATCTACATGTTCTCTTTGGCATATTAGTAAAAATATAATAATATGTACTTATCCTTACAAACACAGATTGGCCACGCCATAGCCCAAGCAGTTAGTTGCTGGCTTTCCACTGCGTCAGCCTGGGTTCGACCCTGAGTCTGGTCAAGTGGGATTTGTGGTGGACAAAGTGGCGCTAGGGCAGGTTTTCTCCGAGTACTTTGGTTTCCCCTGTTAATCTTTATTCCACCAATCACCCTCACCTATCATCTGGGGCTGATACAATAGGCCAGAAGTGGTCGCAGTACAAGGGACTCAGTCCCACTCCACTAGCAATTAAAAAAAAATAATACACAGATTTGTTGAAAACTATAAAACCACGCTTATATTTACAAAACAAAACTTGCAAAACACAGACACAAACACAATGATTAGCTGGCTTCTTTCTCTCTGCTAAAAAGTATTATCACTGACTGAGCATGCTGTTACAAAATTCTAGCAGATATCTACAAAAATAAATTAGTGGAAATAATTATAACATGACAGTCGCACTTCTAGCACTGTTGCATGTTACTGTATCTCATGCATATTGCTTGCAATGACTACAAAAAAAAAAGCCTACTTCACTTGTTATTTAACCCATCGGCACTTCAGAAGTAAATGATCTTAACTTAGAGTTTTTATGAACTGAGATGATATTGAAGGTTTTAAGTATGTAATGTAATGTTGACCCTATGAAGACTTTCAATTGACCTAACCCTTCCAGTCGCACTGTGGCCCTGGGGTCGACTCAACCTCTAACAGTAACTTGATAGAGGTGAATAACCTGACTGTCAAGAAGTGGAGGCAATATATTCCTCTGAAATGTCGGTTCACACAAGATCCACACAGCGCCACATGCCAGAAGACAGCACTGCTGTGAAAACCTCAGATCTTACAAGAAGTGGACAGACTAGCAGTTAAAGTAAGATGGTAGGGCGTGACTCTGTTCTCAGGTGCTGGACTTATCTGGTGCTTATGCCTCTATCTGATACCAGACTGGGACTTAGCTCCCCAGGTGTCAAGATGGAGGGCAGCTAGAGGGTCCCTGCCATCAATGCTTTTGGGGGTGAGAAGATCAGCTCTTTCTGCTTCAAAGGGCTTAGGTGTTGTGTCTTCTACACTAATGCTGTCAGGGATAGACTGATCTCTCAGAGGCTTTGGTGAAGGTCTGCTAATGGCAAGAATGTAAGAGGTACTTTGAAAGGGGTAATTAACCTATCAAGAAGAAGAGTTGGACAGGCTAACAAAGAAGTGAGCTAGTAGAAGGGACACTTCTGTAAGGAACTGAGGCCTTTCCTGGAACTCGATTACAGATCCAGCTAGGGCGAGTGGTGGGGAGGTCGGCTGTCCCTGTTGAATGACGGGTGGCTGTAGACTTCCCACTGGCAGCAGTCCAAGATAAGATTTCCCTCTCGCACTGGAGGGCTAAGTTATTGGTTCCTGCTGCCATTAGCTCTTGAGGACTTTCATGAGGAACCTGGGAGGGTAAAACTAAGTTAAGTCCTTTGATGGGGTGAATAGCCTGTTTATCAAGAAGAAGAAGAAATGCTTGACAAGCAGAACAAGCTGTTCAAGATGAGATCTATTTTGAGGAAAACTAAGGGCTGGACTGGGGCTTGTGGGGGGGGGGTCCAGCAGTGAATGATAAAGGGCACCTGGGACATCCTGCTATCAGCATCCTAACAAAAGATGGTGTTAAGGCACTTGGGCATGGACCTTTGGCCTTGTAAGGGTGGAGCCAATGGATATTAAGAGGGCCACTGTTTGGAGGGTTTTGCCTCTGACTTAAAGTTGAGGCTCCTGAAGAGCCCCAGTGACAGTGGGGGCATCAACAGGACCCAGTAGAATTATGAGCATTTATGGAGGAACTAGAAGTTGCACCACTCTAGGTCGGTACATTACACTACAGTCAACACAGGAGGTTGCTGAATAAAATTTCTGTATGCAATTATTGTGTCTTCCACTTCATCTGCTTGTTCAGCCCATCATAACCTTCGTTTTAATATTCTAACCATACTCTGAAATGCATTGGTTCTTTGCTATAAAATTTCCTCAGTTCCCCACATTCTACCTCCTGGCCAGTATATTCAGGTACTATCTTTGTTCTGAATGTGATTTAAAAATGGAATTATTAAATGTTTATAATGTATTTTGTGGGCCTTTCGTTATCCTGTATGACTATGTAAACTTCTGTGTGACTGACCTGATTTCTTGAAAATTCAAAGACCGTATGACGTTGATCATTTGCCTTTTCTTAATTAAACACCACACCATTAAGATGTATGAAAAAGCAGAGGCATATTCCATATGCCAAATGGTACCAAATAGAAGTGACAGCTCCATGCACCGGTCATTTTGCGCCCACTATCTATAAGATAAAGTCTGGACAGGCCCCAGAGCTTGTCTGGGCATGGCGGTGAAAATAAAATTCTTACCCCTAACAGGAATTGAACCTTGGCCACCCAGGATACTGTGAGTGACATTACTGCCCAAGCTGTTTTTTTTTTTCTGATAAGTGTTAATCTTTCTTTTATTCACTTTCAGAATTTTACATTCTGCACCAGATATTCATCTGTTGTCACTGAATTTTGGTGAAAGATTTCATTTACATATCAACATTTGTAGTTGCAATAGAATCATTAAATAGCAGCAGATAATCTTCTTAGGACTCATTGTTATGCTGAATTACTGGTAAGTAAATATGAATCTTACCCTGCCCTAAATAAACTACAGTACTGCATTTACTTTGTTCTGTGTTCGAAATAAAAGTTAAGTATTTTCTAATGTGTAGCTGAAATTGCCCTATATTTTGAAGATGGCTGGAGGTGCAGTTCTACTGTATTATGATAAAAAGAATGCGTTTGGAGTACAATGTAAGCGCCTTAACGGGAACGGACATTTAATTGCAGAGCGACAACAGGCATTTAAACGTGCACAAGCAGCAGGCATTTAAATAAACTCCGGCCAGCTCAGGCTACCACTATTTCAATAGTCCGGCATTTTAAGGTTAATAAACTGAGGTTGGTCATGGTTTTCATAGTCCCTCCAAGCGAATGACAAGAGAGTACTTTGAAGTATGCCACTAACATTTTCTCTGTAGTAATTTCAGTGTCATCTATGTTACTATACATTTATGAATGAATTGTACGACCCTGCAGCACAAGGGAGTCATGTGATGAGACCACAAATGGTCTGAAAACAGTTGTAGATACAAGGGGTAAGGAGTATACGACCACACTTACTTATCAGATGGATCTGGAAATTGATGAAAAAGTTTATTTTAACCTCTTGGAGCTTTTGGTTCAGAATATTCGTCACCTTTAGTGGTTAAAAATTATCACAGAAATTTCAGACTTTCTTTGGTGAGTAGTTAGTTAGTTAGTTAGTTAGTTATTGGAGAGGGTGGGTTTCCCCATGCACTTAGACCAGTATTGGTCCATTGTGCTTCCCTCTATGATATTCTACCAGTCTCTATATCCTACCGATATTGGTGTGTACCACCAGTCCCGACCGAGCCAGCAAGTTCGGCGTCCACTAGCTTGGCAGTATTTATAATGCTTCCCCCATCTATCAGAGGTGTTAAGAGACTATTTGTTGGGCGGGAAACATCCTTGAATTTGGCTCAGTGATCTTCTTAGGAGATATGAGGTTCTTTTACATGCCGTAAAGCTACGACATGGGACCCACAGTTAAAGTCCCTCCCGGAGGACTTGTTCCCTGAATTTTTCCGCCCTTAAAAATTCGACAACCTCCTCCAGGTTTGAACCCGTGTACCGCGAGTCATGAGGTGGGAACGTTACCTCTAGACTACGGAGGCCGCTTTTCTTTGGTGAGTAGCTTGTGGGTGGGGGCTCCACTTCAGATCACACCATGCGGAGAACCACGTACCTAACTTCACATAAACACAGTGAGTACTGGCCCTCAGGAGGAAAACAAATGCAGTTGCTTGTGTCTTGCAAAAAGTAAATGGAGTAGGAAAAAGTGTGAATGCCGTAATGCAGTGTTGGGTTGTGTGATAGTTCTTATTTCAAGCTCTTTCACACAAAATGACATTTTGACACTACACTACACTGGAAAATCAGCAAACACAAATGCAAGTAATATTATCATTGTCATAATTGTACTAGTATTTTTTGATAAACAGTATCTGAATGAAATAACGAGGCTGATAGGTGTATATGCTGTAAAAGTGTTATTGAATTGCTTTTAGATATTTGTATCCCATTTTGATGTTTTATGGAATAACAAAATAAGAATGATTGTTTGGAGACAACTATAACAGTTTCAGGATTTTGCAGCCCACAAGGGAATGTAAAGAAAATCACCCCTTAATAGTGGGCAATTCAGTCATAAATTAATCTTTGACCTTCTCTGATGCCTAGAGAAACATTTTAGAGGCACATGGTAAAAAAAGAGTTCTTACGATTTTAATTGTTTTTTAATATCATGGCATCAGAGGGCAGTGTATCTCATTACCCAGCTGCAACTACATATTGCAAGAAAAGGTTATAAAGATTTGGATGATAAAATGATGGGGTGTGAGATATAGCATATAGAAAAAAAATGGGAGAAATGAGAGGAACTGCATACAAAATTTTGGCCCCAAAATAAAAGAGAAATGACCACTTAGGAAACTTAGGCATGGAAGGAAGGACAATATTAAGATACATCTTAAGGAAATAGTCATTGACTGGATCTACCTGTCTTGTGCTAGGGACTAGCTGGTCCATAAAACGTGGCATTTCTTGATTAGCTGTGCAGATATTTACATTTATGAAGGGCTCTATTTCTTGTACTTGGTGTATTAAGAAGTAATACTGGAATGTGATCGTGACTACTCAACAGGTTCAAGCTGAAAATTTGATTTGACACGAGCTACTCTTATCTACAAATGACTACAACAGTTTATAAAAAATCACATTGTTTCACAGCCTATTAGATGGTTCTTGCCTGGATCCTTGGTGCATTTTTTTTTACAGACCTCATTGCTAGGTTGCAGGCTGAGATAATTAAAGAACAATGACTGGTCTGATCTGGTCACATAATTTTCTGCAACCCCTTGTCATTGCAGTCATATTTGGTTTCAAGACCCCAGACCATATCTTTCTGTCTCATGGTTGTGTTTGTGTGGTAATTTGCTGCTGGTTCTGTTTGGGGTTGGGCAAATTGATGCTAACCCTCGCCAGCAGAGTCATTCTTAGTGCTGGGTCCCATGGGACTCTTGGCCGTATTTATCTGTCTTATTGCAACTCTGAGTAATATGTTGTTCGCCCCTGCCAGGACAGTCATTCTTGGTTATGGGCCCCACAGGACACACGATCATGTTTTTTCTGTCTCATGACTGATTCGGTTCAGTTTGGGTAAATTGCTGTTAGCCGTCTCACATCTCCATGACATATCTGTGATTCCAGGATTCCAATTTTTTTTTTTTAAAGACATGAAGGCACAGTATTTCAAATATTAAATGAGGGTTCGTAGCAACTTCCCTTACAACATGTTTCGTAGATTTCTTCTTTGCTATATTGGAAAAGATGTCAAAACCAAGATTGTTGTTGTTGTAATTGTAATCATTATTATTTGCAGGGTATATATTTCATGTGTAACATGGATATGAATGTCCAACAACCACAAAAGAAGAATTCAAAATTGAAAGATGTTCCAGTTGCAGTGTATAGAATAATAGAAGTTCCTCCGAATGTAGAAGGTGTTACAAAAACTGCTACTCTCCAGATTGTACCAAAAGCTGAATATGATGATGAAGTGTCAAACCAGAGTAGTTCCGGTGATCCAGATAAAGTTAATGTTACTGTTACAACATCATTTGTAATTGATGATGATAACAAAGTGAAGAAACATTCCACTTCTCAAGTAATTCGTCTCCCAATTCCAATCCAACGTGGTCGACAGAATAATGTAATTTATGGAGGTTCTTATGCAGATGGCAGCGGTGGTGACAGCAGTTTCTTGGACCGACACTTTGCCTGTGCAATATGTACGAAAACTTTCAGACACAGCAGTCATTTGAAACGGCATATCAACACTCATACAGGGGAGCGTGTTTATAAGTGTGATTTATGTGATAAAACATTCCTTGATGCATCCACCCTTTCCCGCCATCGGAAAATTCATTCAGGTGACAAACCTTGGTCCTGTAAGATTTGCAAGAAGAGTTTCGGCACACTTGGCTCTCTACGTCGTCATATAACTGTTCACAACCAAGAAGGAAGACCTTTCCAGTGTGAAACTTGTAGGAAACGTTTTCCAGATAACAGCAGTTACCAGAAACATAAATTCATTCATACTGGAATAAAACCATATGGCTGCGATATATGTGGCAAGGCTTTTGTTCACATTGGCGATTTAAATGGTCATCGAAAAATTCACGTTGAAATAAAACCTTACAACTGTGAACGATGTGGGAAAGATTTTGCAAAACATAGTAACTATGCTCGACATCTGCTTATTCATGAAGGAGACAAGGAATTCTTATGTACAATCTGTGGTGTAAGCTACAATTTCCAGAGTTCTCTCACTCGTCATCTGCTGACTCATGTCCGGAGGAGTAACAAAGCATCTGAAGAGGGAAGTTCCACAAATGATGAAAACCAAAATCTGGATTCTCAAGACAATGACTCTTCTCAAGATGCAGATGAACCTACCACGGAAATCACAAAAAGCATAATTGTTTCAGATTTGAATCAAATCAAGGTGATAAGAACAAAAATGAAGCATCGTAACAGAATCAAACAATTACGCAGGCTCCAGGACTTGAGACAAACTCAGACACATGATGAATCACCATCACCACCCGTGGTAAATGAGTTACAGTCTCCAGAGTCCTCTGACCCAAAACTCACAGAACGAGGTACTCAGATCCAAATGATCTCAGACTTTATTGAGGCTGATCCCACAGTTCTGCCACCTCAAGATGAATTTATATCAAAACAAACCACAACTGAAGATGTTACAACATTGCTTACTTCAGCTGAGGACTTTGGTTCAACAAAAGACATTCCACAGCTTATGATACAACCAAGAACTGAGCCATTTGGTAATACAGCTTCCAAATCTCTTATATATGTGTTGTCAGATTCAAATGAAAGTGAATATATCTTATCCACAAATGAATCTGGTGAAATAGTGTCAGAAGTAAAAACATCAGGGAATAATGGTGCTGTTATTTCAGATCCTGATTCTGTTATAACTATAATACCCATATCAGATGATCCAGTGACAAGTGTAGCACCAAGTACTTCCATCAGTGACAATCCAGATGGTGTCGTACCTTTATTGGAATACAGTGATGCAGATGACACGATCACTAATACGTTATTCTCAGACATTCATCATGAGAACCATAATGATGAAGCTGCAGAAATAACAGGAACCTAAAATGGAGGTAGCTCAGAACAAGTGTCAGATCTGAAAGGTAAAGGAACTTTCGTGTTAATGAAGAGAGCGGCAAATCATATTATATCTGAAGGTAAACAGGGAGAGGCAGTGAGTTTCAAAGGTTTTTGAGCAGTCACATTTCTTTTGCATTTAATGTTCATATCTGAGGATTTATACTATTAAGATGTACAAGTGCATTTCCTCAAATGTAAAAAAAAAAATTGAAGGTCCCTGTCTATACATTTAAAGCATGAAAAGTCAGATTCATGTTACTAAGAATTATGTGTGTATTAATATGTACTTAGAACGTTTAATTTTCTTTGATACACCATGTTTCGATCTGTCTGTCTGGGCCATCATTAGGTGGTTACAAATGTTACAGTATCTTATTTCAGCATTCAAAATTAAAATATTTTACATAAATGTGTATATCTATCAACATTAGCTCCTAACATAACTGTGTAGATATGTTATGGATACTGTGTAGCATACTTATAATATTGAAAAGAACATAGGTTTCAAGAAGCCTATATAAACAAGCATTTATAATGATTATGATGACAGCTGACAACAAATGACCTATAAGTGTCATTGGCACATCCTTTAGCGGGCGCGACACTCTGTTTTTATGGTGTTTTACCATAATCTCACATTTCACTAACAGTTTTACTGAATAGAGAGATACTGCATGCCAGAAGAAATAGTATATAAGTTGGAACCAATATATTAATTTTAAGTATTGGAATAAAGGTCCTGTTGTAGCTGTAAGCACTTGGTGATGGTTTGACAGAAGGTATGAATATGTGAAGATTATGGAAAATTAAGCCTCCTGAATAATCTGTTAAAAAGAAAAAGACCAGTAGTTCTCGGTAGGCTTGAAAGAGTCACCTGAAATGAAGAAAAGGTCAAGAAGAGTACTATCTTCTGGGATATAACACTTAATCTTTGACCCTGAAGATGGAGGTGATATGTTCTTCCGAAACATCAGTTGACTTTCAGTGGAATGCATGGTGTTATATTCCATAAGATAGTACTCTTCATAGCTACTGCTGTGAGAATCTCAGATCGTATGAGAAAAAGTTAAGTTTATTAAACGAGATCAGTATGATTTGATGGACTGGTTTTAAAGCAGTGTGGCTGAATCATTTACGTACATGATGTGGAAGTTTTCCTGTACAGCTAGTAATCATTTGTTAGCAGTGAAATTAAAATGGTTTGGCTACAGTAAAACGAATATCATGCTTTCAAGTTAAAGCACATGTTCTTGGATGAATTTGCATATAATATACATGTACTTGTAACCACATTTTTCCTTTCAGTGTAAACATATAAAAAGATTATTGTATAATTTTGTTCCCAGTGTAATTTTAACTCAGTAACACACAACTTGTGAAAAATAAAAAATGAGTAGTTTACCCGTAGTTGTCGAACTATGGTACCTCTAAGATGAAATGCATGAACGGTATTGAAACTGAAGAGTATTATGTGACATTTACAGCAATGTATCTTCAACATGAAAGCTCATGTTTGTTTTTATTTTGAATAATTTACAATAAATGCAAGATATTGATTATCTTCTGGTGGATTAACCATATGCTTTTAGATATACCAATAGCCTGAATATTAAATAAATGGTTTACTTGTGTAGGACCCATCTTAACATACAGGGTTTGAATGTTTCAGTTTTGTCCACTGAGGACTTTAGCTTCTCTGCTACCCTGCCACAGTTCAAACTTTTGTTTTCTATGACACAGGAATATTTAATTAATTTCCCATGAAAACCTTCTTCCTGCTGTTCTGTATCATTTCTACAATTAGTTCTTAACAGCTCCTTCCCAGAAGAGTGCAACAGAGCTGCCTGGCATACTGATAGGTCCTGCAGTATTGTTCATAAAGTGATATTTTGTTGAAGAATGTGAAATTGCTTCAGTATTCTGTGACCATTCCATAAACATAAGAAGAATGAAAAGTGTTCTAGGACAGGAGCTCTTCAGAAATGTGGATGAGGAGTAACAACATTAAAACTCCTGATTATGAGAGTGCAAACATGGGCCGGGGATCCATTTACTTTAAGGAAGTCACAGAAAGAGATATATACACAGTAAATAAAAGTTATGCTTGAGTTCTGATAAGGAAACAGTCACCATTGTGACACTGTACAGCTGTGAAAATAACAATGAAAAAGCTGTGTATCACTCTGGCTTAGAAGTATTGACTGACAGGTTCATACATCTGAAATACACATGAGGATGATGGAACTGTTAATTCTAGAAAAGAATTTGGAAGGATTCTGACGATGGTGTATACTGTACTTCTTTTGGCTTATTTTGGACTTCACCCATCATCTGGTATATAAAAGACAAAAAGAACCACGACATTTTGGAGACAGATCCAGTCTCCGAAACGTCGTGGTTTTTTTGTCTTTTATATACCAGACGATGGATGAAGTCCAAAAGAAGTCAAGTCATTCAACTTGCTTCTGAGTAGACTGAAGGATTCTTCACTTGCATGCCTTTGTCCATACTGTTCAGTCTCAACTGTTGACAGTCGAGCTTTTGTCATATAAAAAATTGTATGCAACTGTCCTAAAATTTTGCTGTCTTATTATGTATCCACCAATATTTTATTAGCCATCATCTGAGTCCAGAAAAGTGCCATAGCAGGTGTGAAACCTTAATTGATATGCTGGCTGGTTGGGCCTGACTCATACCTCATAAGTAGCAACAGATGATGACACCATAGTTAATATATGGGATCAACAAGCAAAACTAATATGTATCCAAAAAAGACATAGAAATTAAGCTACATCGAGATATATAAGGTCGCGGAGAAGTAGCAGTGGATTACTGTAAATGGATGTGAAACAGAATAGTAATTTTCATTTTATTTTATAGTATCATTAATCATAAGTTTTAACATGTGACCTGTTAATTCCTAACCGTTATGTATGTATATAAAATTCTGTAAGCAGTTTTCCCTGTTGAAGTTATGAGGGAATGAAGGCACCTGTAGAAAAATGTACGAACATATTTGAAAGCTGATGTCAATCTGACGTTGAAAAAAGTAAACATTTTATGTTGCAGTTTCTAATTAGCATTGTCGAATGTTCCCTTGTAGAGACTAGGTTAAAGATGAAAGCTAACATGTTTCCCGAGAAGCCTACTGCCTCGAGTCTATCCAACAAAGTGCTGCAGTGGACGTTATCGTGTGTGCTTTTAATGTCGAGGAATAAGGCCGATACCATGTTCCGTTCTTCAAACGCTTTTATTATTTCAGTCGTTAGCATTGCTAGGTTGTCTGTGCAACCCTTGTTTTGCCGAAATCCATATTGTGTTACTGAGAACATTTGATTCTTTTCTAGCCACCAGGAAATGCACATGATTATCATCCGTCCTAATACCTTGCACACGCATGATGCCATGGATATAGGTCTTACATTCGTTTTATCTCTTTTAGGGATACAGAATACTCTATTTTTTCCAGTCATCTGGGAACACTCTTGCTCTTAAGTTATAGTAAATTTCTAGCAGAATTTCTAAAGCTTCATTTGGCAAATTGCGAATTATGGCGTAGTCTATTCCATCCCATCCTGGCCTGGATCGGACTGAGGTTTTTAATTATGAAGTGGAGTTCATGAATTGTGTATCCTGATTATCATGATCGAATGCTGATGCTTGCTTGGGTTAATCCACGCCTGAGCATAGCTTTTCAAAGGTCGTTTTGGCAGAATTAAGTAGTTCTTTATATTCATGTTCCCTTTCTGTCTTGTTGAATCTGTATTTTAGTTTCTTCATTCTATCCCAAATGTATGATGGATTCATGAATTTATCTGTTCCCTTGCAGAAAGTTTTCCAATGATCTTGTTTGATTTATCTCAGTTTATTTTTTTTCGATAATCGCCACCCTTCTGTAGTCCAAAAATGTCTTTTCAGTTTTATAGTACTTCCATTTAAGCAATTTAGCATTTCTAATTCTAATTACCTTATCACATTCTCTGTTCCACCATAAACACTCTGGTTGTGCTCCCCTTCCGAGGTTTTTGTTTTTTCTTTTGGGGGTGGTCTCTACTAATTTACCTTTAATTATCTGGATAAAATTATTATATCTTTCCTTTACATCCTTCTCTCTGTTCCATCCGTTATGCGTTTTGACTTCCTTGATTTTTTCTTTCAACTTTTTCGTTTTCGCTGATCACGCAACACCCTCTGTCCCCAAAAGTTGCCACTAAATTCGCCGACAAGCGGCGGTCGCTCGGTCGGTATAGTTCGCTTGTGGACTAAAGGCCATGGAGGAAAAGCATAGCCTGGGTGGTGTTTGTCATATATACCAGGCTCTTGCTCAGTTAATTGCCCAAAATAAGTTTAACGGCTTCATCAACATTTCGTGCCACCTTAAATAAGTGAATCGCTAAAGCGCGGTACAGAACAGTTGATACAAAGAAACCACGCGGAAACGCAATTGTGAGAAGACTGGCATGCTCCGTTGCCTGTATATTGAGCTACTCAGTCTCCGCCAGTTGCGCTGCTCCATTCAGTTACATGTGCTCATCTCAGACCACTCATACTGATAACAATTCTCGGAAATGTCGCATGTGTTGCGGTTGCTAGTTTCTTTGGTGTGCCCTCGGCCTTAGTCCATGGTTACTGATGGTGTCTATTATCACCACGGATAACTTGAGCCTTTCAAAGTATAATGGTATTGATAAGTCATTGTGAGCATTTTGTAGGTTTTGTGTAACGAAGACGTTGGGAATTTGTGGTGTTTATGTTCCAGCTTTGTTTAAGGTTAAAGGTCATTTGTTCTAATTTGCAGTATGTACTGCCCTTTGAAAGTACAGCATACAAGTTTGTAATTGTGTCACTCACATGAAAGAGGTGGCAGTATGGATTTCTGAAGTTTCGAATATTTTTAGTATATTGATACCTTGCGCCCCCCACCCCCTTTTTTGGCCCCTTTGACCGTGAACCGTGAATGAAGTGTAAAGCATGAATGTAGGCAGTACACCAGCTGAGGTTCAATGTAAGTATTTGTTTTGTTCATCACGCATGCAGCATGATGGACATCGAATATGACTAGTTAATAATAAAAGTTTCTTGTATTCTATACAGTATCGAGATTGATTTTTTGTCTTGCTCTTGAATGTTAGCCTTATGGTTATTTGCGTGGTTTCCAGGTGAGCTGGTTTTATAAGCTGAAAGATCCCGAAGTATTGCAGACTTAAGTTAGTGACTGTGAAACTTCTCACCAAACGAGCTGGCCCTTTTCTGATTTTAATTGTAGAGATGACCCGGTATGAATCTCGGCGGAGACACCGGGAGTCTTTTTATGATTTGCTCTGTATCAAACGAATTGCTGCGATAGTACTTCAGGCAACGGTAGCTTCATGTCCATTCAAATTCGTTATTCTTCCTGAGATACTTACAGTCACAACAAGTAGCCAAAAAATAAGAAGTAAACTTTTTCATGAGGGCATAATGAATAATTTTCATTAGTCTTTATTTGAAAACATGCTTCCTGATTGGAATTTGTAGATACCGTATTTACGCATGTATAGGCCGCACATTTTTTTGCCAAAAATTCAAGAGGAAAACTGGGCTGCGGCTTATATTCATAATTCATAATTTTATTTCCATCCATAACTGTAAAATATACAATTGGATAAAGTCAAAGGGAATATATAGATTTAATAACAATCACACCTAACATAATCAAAGAATACATAAATACTTAAATATATTATATAAAAAAACCACCAGCACATGCATTAACAGACAATTACAGTCATTTAATTCAACATCTTACATATAAAAAACTCCTGAAGAGAGTAGAAGGCATTATGCAACAAATAACACTTCAATTTCCTCCTAAACACTTTAAAATCAGATACATTCTTTAACTCCATAGGAAGATTATTGTATAGTTTTATGCCCATGTTTATCACACTTCTCTTACAACGATTTGTATTACAATGTTGGGCATACAGATTATGTTTATGCTTTGTATTGTAATTATGCACATCAGAGTTCAGAGTTGTATAGATTCTATTTTTTATGATAAAACATAAAATCTCCAGTATATACAAAGAAGTAACAGTTAAAATTTCTAACTCACCAAACAGCCTTCTGCAGGATGCCCGATTATCAACGCCCATAATGGCTCTTATGCATTTTTTTTTGTACTTTAAAAACTGTATCAATCTCTTTACCTCCACCACCCCAAAACATAATACCATACTTAAATATGGATTCAAATTTAGTAAAATATACATTTCTTAATACCTGTAAACTAACAGAATTACGTAAGGATTTGATCAGATATAGAGCCTTGCTCAGCTTAAGGCAGATATATTGAGTGTGATTCAACCAGCTCAAATTTTCAGAGATATCAATACCCAAGAATTTCACCGAAGATGAATATACTAATTCCCTGTTGAATAAACGTATGACCGGTCTGTTCCTAGAAGTAGATCCTTTTCCATGGAAAAATAATACTTTGGTCGAAATCACACTTCATTTAAAAAAAAATTATATTCATAATTAGTAATACAGGGTGTTCTACTCCTGAAATAATATTCCAAGAAAATTATTTTTTCTATAATTTCTGTCTGAAAATTGTGCTGCGGCCTATACATGCGTAAATACGGTATATGTGAAACTCAACCATTGAAGTGTTTATCTTATAATTATTACTTAATTTATCTGTCAGCAGTGTTGAATCTCTGTGTGTGTACTTACAGGTTTCCTAAAAATAAGTACACAGAATTGGAGGGTGAATACTGTGGCCCAGACTCACAAACTTAGAGCCTTTGGAAGGTGTTCTGGCAACAGTAGGATTAGATCTTTGGTTATGAAAGTAAAATATGCTGGGGACACTTTTGAAGAAAATTAGATTTTGGAGTAGGCAGTGTAAACGACTACTTGTCTTTTATCATTACCACCTCTCGCATTCAGTAACAAAACTTGGAGTTGTCATGTTTACAGTGATAGGGAGTCACCAACATACATTATCATGTTACATCAGGTATTAATTTCCAGTAAACTGTACATGCCGTAAAGAGCCGTTCTTTCAGTGTCATAAGTTGCTTCTTATTTCTTTTCTTAAATGGGAAGCTGTACATTCCGAGAATACGCCAATATGCATTTAGTTCTCATCAAAGCCTGTGGTAATGGTGCCTCAAGTTATATGCGGAGAGGTATCCTCAGTGTAGTTTTCTGAACACCATTCACCCACCTATGGTAGGCTCCATTGAAGACAGAGAAGCGCACAAACAGGTGGCTTGGAATAGAGAATACTGAGTTGTTTGGAGGAGAATCTGTGTACCAACATTGGTTGAATACAAGCTGCTAAACATGTGGCATGCATGGTAGTGGCAAGTTCTCTGTGAACAGAATTTTGTCGGTTGTTCCTTTGACAGTGGGATGAAGTTCTGTTATTTAGCAGCAGTGTACTCTGTGGTGATGGAGCAGGCTTTACAAAGAGCAGCATAATGCATTTCCACAATTGGTACATTTGGAATGAAACAAATACACACAGTACAATTCACTCTGGACAGTTACAGCAGTTTTCAATTAATGTTTGGGCTGATACTGTTGGGGACTGTTTAGTAGGGCAATATATTTTGCCTCATACACTCAATATGCAATGAACATTTCTTGGAGCCCACTTTGCCTGAGTTATTGGATAGTGTACCAGTTGATATTTGATAAAACTTGTGGGTAAGTCATGATGGTGTTCCAGCCAATATCAGTTACTCTGCCAGAGATTACCTTGAAACTGCCTACATGGAGCAGTGCATATAGAATAGTAGGGACCACTATCCTGGCCAAGTCATTTACCAATTATGAATCTCTTGATTTTTTCCTTTGGGGACATAAAAAAATTGGCATTCACTCCAGCAGTGGATAATGCAGAGGAACTGCTGCAACAGGTTCAGAGTGGTTGTACCTTGGTTGACAACCCTCTTGGCATTATTAAGAGCGTCCATCCAGCCATGAATTGTGACTCCAAAGCTTGTGTGGCAGTGCAAGACCAACAATTTGAGCATCTACTGCAGCCCTTTCCAATGCGGCGCCCGTGGTATATTTTTCTGGCGCCCTCCATAACCACATATAATTGAGCTGATTTTTAATATTAATTCAAATTGTAAGACAGGAGACATTTTTGAACGTCTGAGTACTGTTAAATATTTTCGAAAAATTTTATTATTATTATTATTGTTGTTATTATTGTCACGTGTTGGGTGTATAACGCGACAACTTCACGCCGTATTTGATATAGCGAATTTTATTTCACATTCGCACTTACAATCACCCAAATTACAATCTGACAATTACTGCCATCGGCAGTATCACAAATACTACACTGCAAATGCCAGAATACAACTGACTGGTTGCTGGCTAACTCGTTACTCTCCACTGGGTAAATGGAGAACTCTGATCACACACTCTGACTCGTAGGCTTGCTTGGAACTAACCCGGAACTAACTGTGAATAGTCTCCGCTGCTCCGTATCTAAGCCTCATTCCGGACAACACAGAAAACAGCCACGTAATAGGCAACACTGTTGTCTGGCGCCATGTTGCTAGCAACGCCGTCGGGAGTTGTTTACTGCTGCCTAGCAACCGCGGTATCCCTCAGTGACATCAACGCTGGGCGGGTAGACGAAGGAGTGTTGACTCGCCTGTTACCTTAGTAATGAGAGCGATCCAATACCATTACATAACCGCTGGCAGGGGGAAGGGTGTCCCTGCATAGCGCAACACGTCACATTATTATTATTATTATTATTA